ACATATTGTCTAGGTAACAATTCCAATTTGAGCTCAGGTGACATTTCAAAATCTATCTAGATGAGAAACACTGAATTAATGCGCTCTGGAGAAGAGACTCTCACTGTGTGGCTCTTGGGAGAGAATAGAAATTCCAACCTCTGCTCCTAGGTTTTGTATGTTTAGCTCCTACATGAAGGGAGGTTCACTGAGCTGGGTCCATGAAAGACATGATCAGGCCACATTTCCATGGACAAATGAAGTCATGGATTACTAGTTTCTGCAAACAGTGAGATTGCTGGGAAGAAAAAAGAGCATGGGCAGAGAATTCTGTGAACAAGTCATAACCCTGACATAGCCAGGAACAACACTGTATGGTGTCACACTCCAAAGCACATTTTACTTGGTTGAAATTTCCTTTTCTGTTTGAATTTACTCCAAATGGGGAAAGAACTCTAATGAAATGGTTAAGGGTCTCTTCCTCTGGGCATATGGCTGTGCTAAAATAACCCACTAAATGTCCTCCCATCCTGCAGGGTGTGAAGGTCTGTTTTGACCCTGGACAATTAAAGAAAAGAAAGAGGGGAAAAGCAGGAACCTTGTCTTCAGAAGTTAGCTAGCTGGCCAAAGATTCATTCCAAGGTTTCTTTGGAGTGTCAAAAATAACCACATTGAGAATGCTTAAATTCCAAATGTTATAAATCTTTAAATACAAATTCAGGGCTCCTAGAGTTTTGTCTTTCATACAGATGAGTGACCACCGATCTCCCCAGTTCTGTTCTTCCATGTAGCCTCTATGCAATGTTTAAGAGTTTGCCTTGTGTTTTCTCTTTGTTAGTTCCCAACCCTAGTATCCCCTTCCCTGATCATTGTCTTATCCCTAGGATCCAGGGATCTGTACAATGGCAGTCACGTACCTCCATCCCATTATCAGGATGGAAAGCCCAGTGTGAGCAAGTGGCCCTCAGTGAAGGCATCACTGTCCTCTGCCTTCAAATGGGTACCAGCCTACAAAGGTCCCTGACCCTTTAGTATCCAGAGCAAAGGTCCCTCAAAGGAAGCAATCCCTTCAGAGACCAGGTATAGGAAGAGGAAGGTTACAGTGGAAATCTTGGGAGTCCTAGACTCCCAAGAACACGGAGGCAGAAGTCAATTCCACCACTGGGAAGTGGCAAGGAGAACACTAGGAAGAGACAACTGAGATGGGGAGGGGAACCACTCAGGCTGGCAGATGGAGACTTACATAGGGATGAAAAGACACTTTCTAAGTTTCTTGGGGAAGCTGTCTTCTGAGCCTTTCTGCGGTCTACCAGATTGCTCAAAGAAGGCTTACACCACATGGAGGCTGTGGAAAATCTGAGATGAAGCCCTGAGGTACTGGGCTTGATACTGTAGAGATGTGAGGCTGAAAACAAAGTAAACAGGAGGGTGAGCTTATATGCAATTACATGCCCTGATGAGTTAACAAGCAGCCATTAGGGCCCAGGAGGAGGAAAAGGAGCAAAGAAACAAAAGGTTGGGAGACTAGGAATGGAAAAAAGGGATTGGAGGGGTAGAGTCATCCTAAGTACAAAGCATCCAATAGGTGTGAAAAAAGCAAAGACAGCAGATCAAATAGAAACTTAAAATAAGAAAGTAAATACCATGCATGTACCACACAGCACACTGTATTATCCCGGTTATATTATTTGAGCTATAATGTTTTGAGCCTGTTGTTTACATTAATAGTATTTTGATTATATTTGGTTACATGATTTGTATTAATAAATATTGGGTTTTTAAATTATTTATCTATTACTAAAAAGTACTCTGACTCACAGAGTAAAATCAATCTCTTCACTCTTTGAAAGATCATTCCAGGATAGTTTTCTTTTTTTAATATTTATTTATTTACTTATTATGTATACAATATTCTGTCTGCAGACCAGAAGAGGGCACCAGACCTCATTACAGATGGTTGTGAGCCACCATGTGGTTGCCAGAAATTGAACTCAGGACCTTTGGAAGAGCAGGCAATGCTCTTAACCGCTGAGCCATCTCTCTAGCCCTCCAGGATAGTTTTCTAATTCCATCCATTTATATGCAAAATTCAAGATGTCATTGTTTTTTACTGCTGAGTAGTACTCTAATGTGTAAATGTGCCACACTTTCTTTATCCATTCTTCAGTTGAGGGGCACCTAGGTTGTTTCCAGGTTCTGGCTATTAAAAATACCGCTGCTATGAACAGTTGAACAAATGCTTTTGTAGTATGATTGAGCATATTTTGGGTATATGCCCAAGAGTGGTATTGCTGGACCCTGAGGTAGATTGATTCCAAATTTTCTGAGAAACCACCATACTGATTTTCAAAGTGGTCATACAAGTTTGCATTCCCACCAGCAATGGATGAGGGCTCCCCTTACTCCACATCCTCTCCAGCATAAGTTTATCATTAGTGTTTTTGATCTTAGCCATTCTGACAGGTATAAGATGGTATCTCAGAGTTGTCTTGATCTGCATTTCCCTGATAACTAAGGAAGTTGAACATTTCTTCTTTTCTTTTTTTCTTTTTTTTTTTTTTTTTGAAAACATGTTTTCAAATGGCCAAGTATCTTTTGGCCATTTGAAATTTTTCTATTGAGAATTCTGTTTAGTTCAGCACCCCATTTTTAAATTGGGTTATTTAGAATTTTAATGTCTAATTTCTTGAGTTCTTTATATATTTGGAGATCAGTCCTTTGTCTGATGTGGAGTTGGTGAAGATCTTTTCCCATTCAGAAGGCTGCCTTTTTGTCTTATTGACTATGTCCTTTGCTTGACTGAGATAACCCAGACCCAAAAAGATGAATGTGGTATGTACTCACTCATAAGTGGATACTACCTATAAACAAAGGACAATGAGCCTACAGTTCATGATCCTAGAGAAGCTAAGTAATAAGGAGAACCCAAAGAAAAACATATATAGACCCACCTGGAAATTGTAAACAGACAAAATCGCCTGACAAAACTGGGAGCTTGGGGGCGGGGGGAGAAGGGAGGGTAGAAGGGGAAAAGAAGGGAAGAAGGGGAGAAGGGGAGGGTTGAGGAGAACTTGAGGGAATCGGATAGTCGAAATGAAAGACAGATATGAGAGCAAGGAAAGAGGTATCATGATTGAGGGAGCCATTATGGGGTTAGCAAGAAACCTGGCTCTAGAAAAATTCCCAGGAATCCACAAGGATGACCCCAGTTAAGACCCTAAGCAATAGAAGAGAGGGTGCCTGAACTGGCCTTGCCCTGTAGTCAGACTGATTATTATCTTAAATATCACCGTAGAACCTTCGCCCAACAACAGATGGAAACAGAGGCAGAGACCCACATCGGAGCAGTGGACTGAGCTCCCAAGGTTCAGTTGAAGAGTGGAAGGAATGAGAATATGAGCAAAAGGTCAAGGCCATGAAGGGTTTATCCACTGAAACAGTTTACCTGAGTTAATGGGAGCTCACTAACTCCAGCTAGACTGGGAAGAAACAAGCATAGGACCAAACTAATCCCTCTGAATGTGGTTGACAGTTGCATGGCTGGGGCAGACTGAGGGGCCACTGGCAGTGACACTGGGATTTATCTATACTGCATGTACTGGCTTTTTGAGATCCTATTTTCTTTGGATGTATACCTTGCTCAGCCTAGATGTAGTAGGGAGGGCCTTAGACCTTCCACAAAGCAATGTGCCTTAGCCTCTCTGAGGATTAGATGGGGGTGGGGTGGGAGGGTTGTGTAGAGGGAATAGGAGAAGGGGAGGGAGTGGAAATTTGGATTGGTATTTCTTTTAAAAAACTCTATTTAAATTTTTTTTAAAAAAAGATCATTCCAAGGCACTAAAAATAACGATTGGGGAAGGGGGAAGTGCAAGCAGTTAACATCTCCAGGATGAGAGTGCCATCTGGACAGCAGAGGAAGAAAGCCAAGGTTCAGAGCATCTAAGGCCTTGAGAACCAGGAGGGAAGCCAGACACTAAGGGTGATTCAATAGAGCCAGATTTTAAAAAGCTCGTCTTGTAAGCTTGATATGAATTTGATCCCTAGAGTATGCCACACGGCAGCAACAAGAGACCATCCCTCAACAAGGCAGGTGAAGACATATGCTCAAAACTTCTCTTGGAGCTGAAGAGATGACTCAGCTATTATGAGCACTACCTGTTCTCGCAGGGGACCTGGGTTCAATTCCCAGCACTTACACCCAGGCTCACAACTGTCCTGTGTGTCCCAGGGGATCTGGTGCCCTCTTCTGGCTTCTGGGGACATTACAAGCATGTGATGAATGGACATACATTTAAACAGGCACTCAGATTCATAAACTTAAATCTCAAAATAAAAAGCAAGTTACCCCCACCATGAGGATTCTGTGGCACACGCGGACCTTCACACACATGTAATTGTTTAAAAATTTAAACACGAATCAAGAATCAATCTGGCTGTCTGACTTGGTTTGTCTTCAAGCTCACACGCAGCCCATGAACCGGGCGGACGGAAGACCTTTAAAGAACTAGTACAACAGATCAGAGTTTGGAGTGAGATGATACTGAAGACAGTACCCATGGTCTGCTCTTGGGATTTGAATGAATGCATACATGATGTGGAAAGAGGGTTTGAGACTGCTCGTGTCGCTTGGAGGGTCAGGAAGGCTGCGGCTTAGCAGGCTACTTACAATGTGTCTGCTCTGGATTCCTCAGCTTCAGATCTGTGCTCATCTCTCCACCTGTTTAACTTCCTACAGTAGAAAAGGTAATACTGAAAGTATTTGTGTGTGTGGCTGGGGGATAGAACCCATGGCCCAGTATGTGCTTAGACTCTATTACTGAGTCATTCACCCAAACCCCAAACATGCTTGGTAAGTGAAATATGCACAGAAACATCCAAGCCTAAAAGGTAAGTGAGTGGTACAGCTAGCTTTGTGTGACACTTTTCTGGGAAGACTCCCCCCACCAACCCCCAGACACACGTTCATAAATCAGTTAGGAAATCAAAGACAGACCAAAGAAATGACATTGCCAAAGTCCAGCTTAGCAAATCAATGAGTTTATTTGGACCACTTACAAGAGCAGGGGCAACTCAAAAGCAGCTGTATCACCAAAGCCACCTCAACATGGGCAACCCCTCTTCACAACTTGCAGACTGCTTGACTAGTTAGAGACTCTCCTCTCCCGGGCAGCTAGGCCTCCTCCTCTAGGCAACTCAGGTGGTCAGTCAACCTGCCCCTTTCTGTCTTTTTACCATCCTCCAGCCCCTATGCCCCACAAACACATAGAGCTCTATTTCTACAACCTTGGGGGAGCACTTTATGACCTTAAGTTTCAACTTTCTAAGACATGTGATGCTTGTTTAGTCTCTTGAGTTTCCCCTACCTCTTCTTCCTGGAGGGATGTTTTAATCTGAAGGAAAATACCACCAACACTGGCTTTCCTACCTTTGTGCTTGCTTTAGGGACCCACCCTCTATCCATGAGGCAACTCTGTGACATCAAGATCCAGCATGTCTTGAGTTCTTAAAGCACACAATCTCACAAGGCAGAGACTTGAGACATTCATTAGCTACAGAGAAAAGGCTAACAGTTCAGCTAAGCACTTGAGTATAAAAAGCACAGGAATTAAGATCTGACAGGTACTTTATAAATCTTACTGAATTTATTATGAAGTTCCTGTTTTAAAATTCTAATATGAATGTTTAAAAGAAAAAAAGTTGAAAAGTACTTTCCAAAGTATCCTAAATGAAAAAGATGGCAGTATTCAAGTTTATCAAAGCTAAAAGACAAAAGCTTAAACAAGATGCTCTACATAATGTGACCACAGTAATAGACTAAGTCAATCAGTACAACTCAGAAAAGAGACACAAAGGCCCATGTGAGTCCAAAGATGCTCGCCTGTTTTTTCAACATGTTCATAAGCTCTGCCAATGCGAAGTCCTTTCAGTTCACATTGAGAAGCTGTTTCTGAGTCTCTTGGACAAGAATCCAGGCTGGCAGCAACAGACCAGAGCAGGGCTGGAGCGCAGTGGGATGGGTAGAGCCCAGCATGTAGAGTGAGGGCTATGTCAGAGCAGAAGCCTGACATTTGACCTCAATTTGCCTTGGCTCCTGCTCCCTCATTAGACCTTGAGGGAGGAGATGTCAGTATCCTTTGGGGAAATCTGAATGCACTGTTCAGTTGTGTGTCTGTAGCAGACAATACTTGTACTCACAGCAGCTACACCTTGTCTCCACTCCATGTGCATAGGAGGTGAAGCAATAGAACAAATTCTGGCTAATCAGCCTTCACTTGAAGTCCCAGGTGCTGCTTTGAGAATAGACATTTCACTGCCAGGTTTCTCTAGCTCTTCCCTTGCGACGGCTCCCAGGAGGCTGGCTGCTGTGGATGGTGAGACTGCTTCCCACGGGATGTTTTGGAAACTAGTAAAGATAATGATTATTTGCTGACTCAAGAACACTAGAATTTATTCTTTGTGCCCATTCAGCTGACCACAGGCCCATCAATGCAGTTTCCACTGTATTCACTCCTCTCTTTAAAGCTTACTGTTCACTCTTGTCGACACCGTCATGACTATTTTCTCTCCTGTATGAGTTAATGTGTCCGGAAACTACTCAGATGCCTCTCAAGTCTTCCTACAGCAACCATTAACAACTGAGAGTGAAAATAACAATCGCCTGAACAGTGGGTTCAATCTTGATGAAACTGAACGCTCATCACCTACCAATTCATAGCAATCTTTAAGAGTGAAGGAAAACACATTTTGCTGTTAAAGTCAGTCACAAATTACCTTGATGCAGGCAGATGGACATTACCAAATCCCAATGGAGCCACCTATATTTGCTTTTTCAGTAACAAATGGGAAATCAGTAGGTAGAAATTTTGCAGTTCCTACTTATTCATGGTTCTGTTCTTCTGAAATCAAGCTATGAGCACAGGCTGGAGTGATGTGGAAGAAGCTTTCTTCCTGCCACGTGAGGCTGGAGCTTAGGTGCCCTCAGAGGACTATCTTGCTTCATGGGCTATCTTGAAACCCAGAACACAAAAATACTCCCCAAATCTTCAGTTCTGATGAACTTTTATATTTAAAAACATTTTCTTAACATTCCTCTATAGGGGCAATTTTATATTTTAGGTATATTGGGCAGTTATCATACACTAGCCTGCACAGGCTGCTAAAACCAAGTACCAGACATGACGGTTTAAGGGTGACAAATTTATGTCTCATACTTCGATATGCTGAAGTCCAAGACGCTGTCTGAGTGGTTCCCCATGAGGGAGTCTTCCTGGCTTTTAAGCAGTGTGTTGCTAATTCTCACATAATAGTGAAAGAAAAGCATTCCTCCTCTTCTCCTGAGTAGGCCATCGGGTCTATCATATTAGAGCTTACCCTTAAAGTATCCTTTAACCTTGTTACCGCCCAAGAACTGCAGCCCACAGTCAGCGGAGGTCAGGGCACAGTCCCACACTCCATGCTGGGCAGGCAATTCTTCACTAGAACTCTGCTTGCAGTGATCACATCGTCCGTCATATCATAGAGAAGACTGTGACACAGAAGACAACACAGGATTCTTCAACAGCGGCGGAAAGTCCACTTTCGTGATGTGGTTTGTCAGCCTGGCACTTCTGAGTACAGACCTTTCATCTGAACCACTGAAGTTCAAAGGCTTCAAAAATCAGCCTGTCGCTCTGTTCTGAAGTCCAAAGCAATCACCAATAGTTTTGAAAACAAACCAAAAATCTTTATTTACAAAAGAGCATTTGAACCGGCTCTTACACATTGGCTAACGACACATGGACAGCAACAGTGTCTCTGGAGCATTTCCGACACAGATCTTAAACACAGTGAGGCTTACGTCTCCGAGTTCCACTGCTCACCAAACAGAAATGCTGCCTCAGCTTTGCTGTCATTATGATTCTGTGCTGGAGTCATTTCAGGTAGGTTTACTACCAGATGTGGTCACATAACCATCGGCTGTGGGTTTCCAAGCAGCAAAGGAGCCAGTCTGAGCAAAGCTCGGACTGGAATCTTCAGCTGTCTAAACCTGAAGAGGAGTTCAGCAAAGTTCGTACTCCCTGAAGAGACAGAGATGCAGGAGGTTACATCATTGCACAGCCTTAGTCACACAGTCCTCCCAAGGAGCATAACATATGTGTGAGCCAGGTGTTCTTTCTTCAAGACAGAAGCCCCTAGAAGCAATCCCTGAATTTTTAATTTCCTAAAATACTAAGAATTTAAACTTACCCATTCTGTACTTTAGAGATTCAACCACTGTGGGAACTTTTCTATGCACATTAAATTTAATTAGCCTCAATTATGATAAGTGATTCTGAAAACTGATTTTAATACTTAATTTCTGCTCTGTGAGTTCGATCTTCTACCAAAAATAAAATAAAAGAGGCAAACAAACAAAAACAAAAAACCACCACAGACTGAAGGCTGTGGGACGGGTACCACCATCTTGGGCTGGTAAATTGTCTTGTCCATCTGCAAGCTCTTTACAGGCAACTTCCTGGCCAGTGACTCTTCTGAAACCCCACCCTCTGGCATTCCCCCCACCAAAGGCCCTCTCCTCTCTGAAGTCCTGCCCTCTGCACCCACCCCCACAGCCCTCTCCTCTCTGATACCCATCTTGCAAACTCTAGCTCCCTAGGCTTCTCTGTATCCTCACCTCCTTCACACAACTCAAGGTCCTTAAGGCTCCCCTTCCCCAAAACAACCGAGAACCTCTCAAACAATCTAGCCAGCAAGGATAACATCAAGTCATTACTTTATGGATTTGTCTTTCTGTATTTGTTTTTATAGAAGAGGCCACAAAATACAAGCAATTCCTCATGGACATAATTAGAAGTCTGTTTATAGTGTCTGAGGCTTCCTAAATTCCATAAATGAGTACTGGCATTAAGCTAAAAGTGATTAAACACTATATAAACAACCTTCCCCTTCTCAAAAGTATTTTTCATCCTCAAAATATCAATTTAAGCATGACATGAATAGATCAGACAAACTCAGAGCCTGTTTCCATATTCCAAACAGCACTTCACTCAACTTTCTACACTTCTTAATGTAAAAATTGTAAAGATATAGAAAATTAAGTACCTGTAGCTTTAAAGTTTTAGGGTAATAGAATTTGTGATTACATATAACTTTTAAAAACTAGGAAACCTTAAAAAGTTCTAAGAAAAATAAAGTAACTCCTGTAACTATAGTTCAGGTTGAGTGTTTGACAGCCATGCCCAAGACCCTGAGTTCAATCCATATAACTTAAATACATATAGATTTCATTCATTATAACAGAAAAATATACACATTTAGTTTATAGTCCTACTCTGAAAAACACTTTTTTAGAAATAAAAGTATATGATTTGTTCTATTTTCAGAAAGCATTCTCAACAAACACAAAGCACGACTAAAGATGAGTGCTGCATTAGAGCAGGTAACTCACAGGAGTGTCTCCCTAACTAGAAACTGGTGGGACATGTACTGAAAAGCGGGTCAAGGTGAAATTACCTTCCAGTCCCAGAGGCGGCAAGTGTCGTGGTGCTGGCACAGAGTGGTAGACCAGGAAGCAGGCCAGCACGTTCAGCTGGGATTTGTCAACAGGCTGCCCACTGAGGTAGGCATGCACAGCCGCATCACCTCCAGCTGTGAGAGGACACAAGAGGAGTTCAATGGACCAAGAACAGAGATGAGAAAAATGGGAAGGATTATTTTTATTACTCTTTCAAAAGTGCATACTTAGCCCTTGGCACAAACCAGGAAGTGATGCACAGGTAGAGGCTAGGGTGGCCTGATACTGCCCAGTTTAGAGTGCTGAGGAGGTGAGAAAATATACAAATACACGAGATTACATGGTAACAAACACCCACTGTCACTTTTTTTCCTCCAGTATAGTATTCAAGGAGAATGACTTAAGGCCAGGATAGACTCTATTTACTCTTGGTTGGAAATGATCAAATTCCAATGCCTATCAGAGAGCTTTTGAAACACAGTCTGACACAGTCTGGAGTTTCTGGTGTAGTAGGTCTGGAGAAAAAGTACAAACACATGTCTGTAACCAAGATGCAGCCATTCAGTGACAACATTCTCTGCAACAAGGAGGGGTGGACTGAGGAATGGGATGAGATGGTCAATGCCACATTTGCTTCTGGGACAGGAATGACCCTCTTCATGCCAAGGTTCCTAAAAGCAACTCCTTTCTCTCTCTCTCTCTGAGCATCATGAAAAACTGGAAAGTAGTAATTGCTGGCTGTACAATATGAGGAGATAAAGTGACCACAGAGAGGGTAGCATAATGGAACTTTAGGGGTAAAAGTTGAAGACCCAGCAATTAAGGAACCTCTTAAACCTGTCTTATCTGTGTGTTTCTAGTAATACTAGCTTACTGCTAACTTCATTATTTAAACCAAATTCAGTTCTGTCTTCTGCTACAAGCTTAAGACAGACATTTGAGGGGCTGGAAAGATGGCTCATTTGTTGAGAGCATGGGTTGCTCTTCTAGAGGATCTGAGTTCAATTCCCAGCACCCACATGGCAGCTCACAACTGTCTATAATTACAGCTCCAGGAGTTCTGACACCTTTACATGGACACACATGCAGGCAAAACCACCAATGCACATAAAAACAAAATAAAATAATTTAAAACTTTTTTAAAAAAAGACAGATATTTGAACCAAAAAGAAAATTTGAGAAAACAAATAAGAGACCTAAAGATGCTTGGAAAACTGAATTCACCAAGTACCCTAAAGAGCAACAAGACCAACCAGGTACTATGCTAAGAATGGGCTGTCACTTTACACTCCTCCGAGAATTTGATAAGCCTTAATGGCATACTTCCCAATAACAAAGGCTCTCTACTGGTGTTGAAATACAAAATTTAATGAAAAGAAAACACGGACACCTATTCTACAGCATTTTCACACACACAGAAAATGGTGATTCTAATGCCTATCAGAAACATTTCAAAGCTACACAGAAGCATCTGGTAAATGGAAGAACAGTGCTCACACAGCTACTTTCTTCATTCACTCCCCACAAGCTGCTTTACAGTCTGTTTGTCAGAGCTTATTTCCCAGCAGGGCAGCTTAAATAAGAAAGCATAGTTACTACTAGGACTAGGGTTTGTGTGGACACAAAGCAGGTCACCGTCAGCTATTTGCTGGGAAGAGCTGAATGAAAAGAAAGGGATATAAAAGTCCAGGAATTGACTGCAGACATGATGGGTCTCAGCCAATCACATTCTGTTTAGGGTGTGTCCCCCTGGGGCCAAAGAAAACAGATATGCTTGCCTCTGCCCTTTTTGTTCCCTGCGCTCCTGGATCGCTGGAACCCTGATTTTGTAAGTTTCCTTTCTTCCATTTATTAAAGCTGAATCTTTTATATTAAGCTAGTCTGGTTAATTCTAACTACCGATCGACTACGCCAATCACAGACAGTCAGTTTTAGGTACAAGTAATATGTCAACCGCATTCCCACAGTCACATCACTTCTGAGAGTTATGAGTAACTTTACAGTTTCCTTCTTTCTGAAGTTAGCACTTCTCTGAGCCATGGCCACAAGATCTCATTGACTCATTCCATAAGCCCATTCCTAAAGCAGGTAAATGTATTTTTAAAAGACTTATCCAGGATTTAACTCATCAAACTGGACACAATCAAGCCATAGATTATGCTCAGGTTTACCTTGTTTGCCACTGGGAACTGCTAGAATAGAGAAGCCTCAGTCGAGTGTACCCTAAAAGCACAAGGGCACTGTGTCACATACCTTGCAGCCACTCATCCAGGGTGGCATCAATAGTGCACTTCACCACAGGCAGGAACTCAGAGTTCATAAAGAGACCTCGCTTAGGGTCCTGCTGCCTCTCCTGGTGGCTTCGGGAACTGAAAAACTCTAAAATCAACTTTATCTGCCAAAGATCAGATGTATCTGACATGTCTCTCTTTCTAAGACTTCTTATAGCCTGCGTGAGGAAACAGAAAAAAAAAAAACAGTTTGTTTTAATGAAATGGTAGGATGTTGTAATCATGTCCTCTTCAGTGTTGCATTCTAGGGTATGCTTAAAATATGGATGACAAGATCAGCAAAAGGCCATGGTGAACCACGGGGGGTTAAAATGCAGCTGACCAAAATAAGGAGCCTTCCCTGGTGTGGCTCACTTTCTTCAAAGGTTGAAGGCAACTTCCAAGTACAAGGAACAAAGGTCAAGGCCATTCAGCAGTTCTGAATAAGGAAGATCCACTGGTGTATAAATCTCTGGGGAAGAGGTCGAGTACAATGTCAACAGGATCAGACAGGAATCCCAGTGGGGCAGGGGGGTAACTATTGATCTTAAGAATTACCTATAAAGGTACCAAGGCAGGAGACATTCATCCATGGAGACTGTTGTAGGTGGTCTAGGAGGGGGAGAGTTCCCAGAGCTTTTAAAAGAAAGGGAACCAGCAACCAAGAACACAGCTTAGCTACTACACCAAGAGAAGCAGCAAGCAAAGAGCCAGCACAGCAGCACAGCCACTCTCTGCAACTGACAAGAGATGGGCCCCATACTGTAGAGCCTTCTGGGCCTGGGCTTCTGCTGGAGTATGGAACACTACTCTACATATGACAACTTTCATGTCTGGGGAATTATCTCCTGCCTAAATGCTTTTCTACTCAGCTATCCAGCAGATTATTTTGACTATCAAAGACTATTTCTTTGGCATGAGACAGAGTCCCAACTGCTAATCTATAAACTTTTCATATTTACTGAGGATTTTAAAACTATAGGTTCTGGAGGCTGCACCACCCTCTCCCACCCTAATATTCAACTAAGTAGGTATAGAACAGGACTTGAAGATCTGTATTTTAAGATTCCCCAGATACATTTTAGCCAGGTTAGAAAACTATTGGCTTAGCTTAATTGCAAATTTGGGTGTGAAAAACTATGAGATGTGAGAAAGCTATATTAATAACAACTCTGATGAGAGGCCGATGCTTCAGGAAAGCTCTCAGGCATTATGTTCTGCATGCTCCTATTAGGCACTTACTAACCATCAAGAGAACCAAAATGAACACCACCTCCCTAAATCACCAATTCCTGGTTCTCAAACTTCCTGCAGTCTTGGCCAAGGAGGTAGGATTTCATATTCAAGCAATCACTGGGGTACATATGGCTCACCTACTGCTCATTTGTGGCCTTCCTATGAAGAAGTTTTCTAGAAAGGAGGCAACAGATGGCACAGGAACACTAGCGCAAAAGAGGAAATGATCTCTTCCTCCCCACATCAGAAGAAGACAGAAAGGGACATGGAATTCCTAAGAGAAAGGCAGCCTTCCAGAGAGCACTCCTGCTGGCACCAGTCCAGCCTTTGTGCGTTAGCATAGAGCTGTCAGCTGGGAATGGTTCCCTGCTAAGATGGCTAAAAGCAAACAAGAAACTAAAAACTGAATACAAGAAACTTCCCATACTATTACAGAGGTCATTTGAAATACAGGATCAATCACATCAGAACACAAACAACTTTGAAACCATACCTGATCCATTGCTATGTAGGCAGGCAACATCTCTGGGGTTTCCTGAGTAACACACTCGTAGAGTACTGAAGAAAAGAGGTCCAGAATCTCCTGTTTCTATGGGGGAAAAAGCACTTTTTAGCACATCAAAGTATATTCCAAAATCAACTATGGAGCAGTTACAATGCCTATTCTGCAGCTCCGTGGTAAACAGTGAAAACCAGTTCCTCTATAAAAAGTCATAGTCCATGCAGTGTTATAACAGCAGTCAAAACCCAGAAAAGGAAGGCGAGAAAACAGCATGTGATCTGATCATGATCAATCTAGGGTTAAAAAAAATGCTGAGAGAACACAGCAGAGATGAGCCCTCAGTCAGCTGGCAGCAGTGGGATACACATAGGAGCACTGACCAACAAAGAGACAAGGATAAACAGCATACAGGTAAGTGTAATGAGTTCTCAGAATCAAATGCAGCAGTGGGGGCTGGAGAGAGGAAGGAATGGTGGTGGCAAAGGAAGGCACAGGATTTATTAGAGCTGTCTCCCTGGCCTCAAATGCACACCCTAGTCCTTACTAGCTATGTGAACCTGGGTGTGTGATCGCTCAAGTAAGCAGTCTCCTCATCTATAAATCCAAATGATGGATATACCTGTGCACTTGGGGGGGGGGGGTGTGAAAGGGGAGAGCATGGGAGGAGAGGAGAGAGGGAAAACTGGTTGGTAGGTAAAATAAATAAAAATAAGCTATTTAAATAAATATAAAAAAGAACTGTGAGGTGTGGGGAAAGTCCCTGCATAGTGTGCACTGTGTAGTGAGGCTGCAGCTCCTTTGCTCAGCACTCAGAGTGACGTTGTAAGGCAGCATCTAAACATCTTTCCTTAGAAGGAAGAAGCTATATCTTAGGGAGGCTGGATGTTCTCGACAACAGGCTTCAACCCAAATCACCCAAGAATGGTGCTAAAACACTGAGAACAAATTCTTTCAAGAATGAACACAAGAACCATCACCCATCAAAACTAATACCTTAGAAATTGTGACCTTTTTCTCCTATTAGGGTAGAAAGGTACTAAATTTAATTGTTTTTGTGACCATCTATATTTCCCAAGCAAAAACATGTAACAATGTGAAGGATATCATCAATCTCAAAGGCAGATGAGTATTACAGGTGTCTTTGGTTGTCTATTGATGAACTAATAAAAGTCTTGCCCTGAGGCCCAGAAAACCGTATAATACTTACTTGACCCATGCTCACAGTTGGTTTGCAGAAATATTCAGCAAATGACAGAAGCGCTGGATCAGAAGTGAATGATGAAACTGTTTCTGGCTAAAAAAGAAAAACAATCATTTAAGGGAAGATAACCAACTGCTATTCCCCTTTCTGCTCACTCTAAGAACTCTACCACCTCTTTTCATACAATGCTCCACAGGACAAAACAAGCTAGAGCTTTGTCCCTCTCCTCTGTTAGGAAGCTGCTTCAAGAAGCTTTTGCATAAGTTAATATGAAGTGCTGATCTACCAAAACACCAATAATAAACATGTCTTTTTTCATATAAACTGCCCACAAAAGGCTTTCCTCCCTCCCTCCATGTCTAACTAAAGTCGGCTTAAAGTACAAGCACTTAGAGGCTCACAGAGATGGAACAACAACCAGCTCTGCATATACGGGACAGCTAAGTAGCTTGGCTCTTGGAGGACTCCAAACAGCGGGAGCAGAGGCTGTCTCTGACTCTCTTGCTGGCTTTTGGGAACCCATTTCTCATAGTGGGTCGCCTTGTCCAGACTTAAGATGAGGAGAGGTACTTCATCTTATTGCGACTTGATATGCCATGTTTTGTTGACATCCATAAGAAGCTTGCCCTTTCCTGAACAGAAAGGGAGGAGGAATGGATGGGGGTGGGCAGGGAGAGAAGGGGTAGAGGAAAGAGACTGGAAGGAGAGGAGGGAGAGAAAACTGTAGCTGGGATGTAAAATAGATAGATAGATAGATAGATAGACAGACAGACAGACAGACAGACACAGAGAGAGAGAGAGTCCAAGTAGTATGGAAGAGTAAGGAAAAAGGAGTCTCGCTGTCTCACTCTCCGGAAGCCACCACAAAAGGATAGTTACTATGATCCTTCACATAAGAGGCCTTTAGAAGAACTAGACTCACACAGACAAAAAGCCAAAGGGGCTGCTGCCTGGGCTAGCAAAAGAGCTAATGTTGATAGGGATAGCTTAGGTCTGCAAGTTGTAATTCTTCTAATGGCTACATGTCAACATTGTATCTGCTATTGTTTAGAAACAGTTCCCATTTGAAAATAGCTAAGGCACTAATGTTATGTGTTGTGCATTTTACTACAATAAAATAGTAGGAAAAAACCTCAGTATACCATTTAATATTCAGGACTAAAAATGGAGTATTTCCAATTTAGGTTCCTATTTTATTTTTAAACTCGTAGGAGGCAGGAGACTGAGCTTTCTTTTAATTTCTATATACGTTCAATATTCAAAACTAAGTTGTGACTTATCTATTTCCCTTATAAATTGAAACAGCTTTTCATATAGGTGAGAAGTTTTAAAAAAAAATAGTGCTAATTTAAGCTAAACAAAACAACAACAAACAAAAAACCACAAAAACACAGACCAACTCTTCAAAATATTCCAGAGACATCAATTGATTGCTGCTAATAACAACACACTGACATCAAAACTGGGAGATTTTATAGCTTTACAACCAGTAACTATGAGAAAGGCTAAATGTCAACTGACTGATCTCAGATCAGATTTAAGCTGAACTATAGTACTCTGTTATCTCCTAACTCAGGGATAAGGAAAGCTGTTTTGTGCCTAGTCCTGAGCTGCTGAACTGACACATCCTTGATCTATGAGCCCCAAGTACTCTGAGAATCCTCAGCAAACATCTGCCTATGAAATGCTTAAAAACTAAGATTAAATTCCCAAGTTTAAGGCTAGATTACAGAACACATTTCTAATGATGGAAAAGAATTCTAGAACATAAAATATATACTGACCCCTCCACAGTATTGAATTTTACCTCATACTTTTAACTATTTTTTCATTTTAAATACTACTGTACTGGTAATGAGTACTATGAAATAATAAATTAAAATCACGATTCATGCTGTATCCTTTCATTTTCATCAAGATTAAAGAAACAAATGATGGCTTAAAAATGGATTCCCCCACCCAATGGAATATAGCCAAGCATGGTGGTATATGCCTATAATCCCAGCACTCAGGAGACTAGGGCAAGGGAATCACAATGTGAGGTCAAGGCTGGGGTTATACTTCATGACAAAACATTTAATCTAGCATGTATAAAGCCATGATTCAGCCTCTAGAGATAAAGAGTAAAGGGGAGCCAGGGAGAGGTGGTGCCAATCTGGTCAACATACTGAAACACTGCCAAAAGAAAGGAAGAAGGGGGTGCGGGCGGGCAGGGGGGAGGGAGGGAGACAAGTGTTAACTAGCAAATTTCTCTAATTGAGGGACTAGCAAGTAAAATAATTAAACCAAACATTGCTTGTAGTGTGGCAGTTTACTATATGTGGCACTAAATATAAGTCTTACATAGAATATTAGCAGGATGTCCCTATTTCATTATAAGTGTCACATAAGAAAGCAGTGGAAATCATGGCCGATTAGGTCTTACAATCTACAGCAATAAAAGAAGACACTAAATGAAACACAACACTACCTTGAAAGTCCGGGCTTCTGAGTTCCTGTTAGAAACAGTCTGCGCTAACAAACTCTGCCACCCCATTGGATCTTCTTTGTAGGACAGCTGGCCTGCCCTGAGCTTTACATACAAAACTCCATCCTTAGAAAGAATGGACCTGGGGCGGGGAGAGAAAAGATGACTTTACAGGCGGTATTAATGGCAGTTTTCTGCTGAAGCTAGCTTTTTCCAGTCCACTTTCAAGGGGGAAGACGAATTCGCCATTCTCTGGCAGGATTATTCACTATGTACAAAATAAATGAGTGCATATAAGTGAGGCTGCAGCTCCACTGCTCTGTGGGACTGGGATTAGCTAAAATTGTGGTTTCTGTGTCCCTTGACTATGCCTGAGACACAGCAAATACTAAAGATGTAGTAACTTCAGTAGAAAGAAAATACTAAGTAATCTAAGACCAAACAAATAGAAATTAGCTACTGCAGAATAAGACGACACAATTGGGACTAAACTATGAAACTTTTACATGCTTTTCTAAACTTTTACGCAGTTAAACAAATTACATACTTCCCAAGGTATAAAATTATTAAAATGCTAAAATAATTACTTGCATATAATTTATTTTCCTTTTGTTAGTTGTAACAAGACAATAGCGAAAGGGAGCAAGAGAAGACATCTGACAAGCATCAGTAGTTACAAAAAGTCCCCTTTAAACCAAATCGTACTGTACCCACAGAAACCCCGTGACTGTCTAAAGTAAGTAAAATAACATGTTCGAGTTTTTCAATGAACTTGTGTGAACATTATAGTTTGACTCTCGAATTAACACTTTTACATTTTAAAACAAATCTTGCTTCAAAGATATAGAACATACTGTTCAATATACTCTATATGCTGTCGTGGATGAGATCAAAGAATAACAAACAGTTCTCAGACCCTAATCTAGAATATCACCTCCCTGAAGACTTCTATGCACTGCCAGAAAGGCAAAAGTGAGAATTCAGCATACTTACTTCAAGTGCTGTTCTCCCTTGCTTAAATCTATGAGCAGTTCCCAGTATCTTGGCCCTTTAACTTTCATCTGCAAGGACAAATGTAAACATAGTCATTCAAAGCTGGCACACCAAACAGCCTTCTTAGAGGAAATAGTGACTTGGCTGCAATGAGCCACCTTTAGGTTAACAAGATCCAACTGTTTACAAAAAGGGTGTGAACCATGTTCTGAAAAGACACAGGCTATTAGTAAAGACCATTAAGACAAGACCTCCTCTATCCTTCATAAAAACACCTCCTGTTGCTGCTTTCTTAAACAGAGAGAAAGGGGACACCTTTACTGCTATGCAATTGTTTTCATTTACCCCTAGACAGACCACCCAAGTCATGCCAACTCACCTGTTTTAACAGATGAAGTTCTGGAAGAAGGGTTGGAGCCATCAGTTCTTCTTTGGTCTGTTCATACCACTGAGTGCCCTTTACAAAGATAAAACACAACTAGCATTGGCCAAATGGTCACTCTGTGCCTTCCCCTTGCTCATGGTCTGCACTTTACTATGAAACAACACAACCTCTCTGTGGTGGTTTGAAAGAAAATAGCCCCCAAAGGGAATGGCACTATTAGGAGGTGCGCCTTAGAGAAAGTATGTCTTCGTGAGGGTGGGCTTTGAAAGTCTCCTTTTCTCAAGCTATACTCAGTGTGGCAAACAGTTCACTTCCTATTGCCTGCAGATCAAGAACTCTCAGCAGCACCATATCCAATGCCATGTCCTGCCATGATAACGGACTAATTCTCTGGAACTGCAAGCCACCCCAATTAAATGTTTTCCTTTATAAGAATTGCAGTGGTCATCATGTCTTCACAGCAAAAGAAACCCGAACCCTCTGATAATCTTTTTGCTTAGCAGTCCTACACAAAGTCCATGATGGCCTGGTGCATGCCAAGCAAGCATTCTAGGGCTGATCTATAGCTACAGCCTTAATACTCAAATCTTAAAAGACTCAAGCCTATATTCTATTATGGAGTATTCATCACCATCACTGGGCAGCAAACCTGAAGGGCTGTGCTTCTAAGCCATGGGTTTAAACACATGTTGAGAACAAGTGCTGTAATTGCTCCAAATTCTTCAACGGGATAAGAACATTCCAGCATGCCACACAACCCTCCAATTATCACACTGTTATCACTGCATCCATGCCCGGCCATTCATTTCCTTCAGGAATATGACATCATCACCTCACTTTCACATTTCAAAGTGTAGCACATTTTGACAAATAGAAGTATTTAATAATTTGGTACCAACTACATGGTTTGTAATCTGTGTGTACATGCCAATGAAAGATCACTGAAATACACAATTTAGGGATTTCAAAGGTTCAGCAAAATCAAACTAAGAATCATTCTTACTCAAATGACTCTGCAGAACAATTTAATTAGCCCCATAAAGTTAACAGGAACACTTTTCAGTGATCAGCTGATGATGTCAAAACCTACACCCGAACATGAGAGTGAGCCTGCATGGCCTGGCAGTGAACATGAGAGTGAGCCTGCATGGCCTGGTAGTGAACAGCAACATGGGAAGCTTTGTTCTTTGTGACGTTCAACTTACTATCATCATCTTTTGCTAAAATGGTTTTAAAATAACCTGGCCCACAGAGATGACAGGGACAGCTACCTTGTAAGTAACTTCTATAAGGGCATAGCAGGGTGTGTTTGTATCCACATCCACAGGTACCAGAAGCCTTGGTTCTGCAGCTAGCACATAGAGGTGCCGGAGGGCCTGGAGATGATACCTGTGCACAGAAAACAGAAGTGACAATCACTGTTGCTGACAGACTAAAAGAAGCTGGGGTGACAAACACCTTCCTATCAAGAATCTGAAATGAAGATGAAAAACTGAATTAAAAGTACAGAGAAATTCTAGTTTAATTTTTTTTTTATTACACTTGTGTGTATGCCCATCTGATAGTTGTATGCAGAGCTCGGAGGATAACTAAAAAAGTTAGTCTCTCCTTTCACCATGTGGGTACAGGGGATTAAGCTCAGGTCATCAGGCTTGGTGGCAAGCACCTTTATCTACTGAGCCATCTTGCAGGCCCCAAAGCGCATAGAGAAATTCTAAGAAACTACTTATGTAATCTTTAGTCCAAGAATTCTTGGTCTGAGTTCACAGGTGGAAAAAAGTTTAACAAGGAATGTCTTAACAAGAAAATATTTATTAATGGAGCCTGAACAATTGACTTGAAACAACAGTTCCATTCAACCATTCCTGGCTTCTCCACACAAGACATCCTCGTCACTTATCTCAGGGACATGCTGTAGTTTTTTCTTCAGGGTTGGTAGGGAAGGAAGGACACCTGTCAATTCTCAGACAGCAAAGCTCTCTTATATACATCCTCGCACACAATCATACAACTCACTGACATACACAGTAAACACTGGCAACTGTGTGTATCTATTTTTGAATTTTCACATTAAAAATTTTAACTTTACAATTTACATTTTAGAATCCAAACACAAATGCTTAATTTTTAGATACCATTATTAAAGAGTAATGAAATGAGATTACAATTTAAAAAAAAAAATAAAACAAGGTTGAGGAGATGACTCAGCGGGGTGGTAAAGTGCACATGGCTTAAGTATGAAGGCTTGTGCTTGGCTCCCCAGAACTAACATCCTGGTGCAGAGGCACACACCTGTGTCTCTGCAGTGCTGGGAAAGTGAAGACAAGAGAATCCTGGGATTCTGGGGGCCCAATGGCCAGTCAAGCTCTATAGTCAGTAGGAACCCTATCTCAAAAAGTAAAATGGAGAGTGATGGGTGAACATAACACCCAAGGTCAATCTCTGGCCTCCACACACACATATAGGACACACACAAAACTAATGACTTAAAAACAGAAACAAAATGTCAGGCCGTGGTGGCACACACCTTTAATCCCAGCACTGGGAGGCAGAGACAAGTTGATCTCTGTGAGTCAGAGGCCAGCCTGGTCTACAAGAGCTAGTTCCTGGACAGGCTCCAAAGCTACAGAGAAACCCTGTCTCAAAAAATAAAACAAAAACAAAAAAAAGGAGCTATTTTCTTTTCCAGTGCACAAAAGAGGTCCCTTTATCGTGAACGCTCCTGGAGAAGGACGTGTTAGTCATTCTTGTGCTTTACATGCTCTCTAGATGCTCTCTACTGCTTGCTGTATAAGACTTCTGGGGCTACTGCTTCCTGTCACTTCTAAATTGTTTTATTTTTTTATAGGTCTCGATTTTTGTCTTTTTGATGCCATTTACACAAAACTTCTCAGCTATCATATTAAAGAAGGAATTCACATTGCCACTAAATCAAATTAAGTTTTTTTCTTGGAATTAAATAATCTTAACAAAAAAAAATAAATAGTATATATAAATATATGATGTGGGATTCCCCTCTGTATGCTGTGAATACCATTGGATAATAAAGAAACTGCTTTGAGCCTATAGCAGAGCAGGGCAGAACAGAGGTGGGTGGAGAAAACTAAACTGAATCCTGGGAGAAGAAAGGCAGAGAGGGAGAAGCCATGTAGCCCCATCAGAGACAGATGCCAGAACTTTAGGTAAGCCACAGCCATGTGGCGATATACAGATTACTAAAAATGGGTTAAATTAAGATATAAGTGGTAGCCAATAAGAAGCAAGAGCTAATGGGCCAAGCAGTGTTTTAAATAATAAAGTTCCTGTGTGGTTATTTCAGGGCTGAGCAGCCAGGAACCAACAAGCAGCCTCCTTACAACAAGTATATATATAGTAGCCAACTTCCCTTGGCTACTAAAGTTTGTATGGTAAATTTGCACCTAAAGATAACTCAATCTGGCCTACATTTGGGTTCACAAGTTTCAAAGATGTAAGAGTAATAAGGCATCAGATGTCCAGAATTTTTTTCTAGTCTAATACTTTGAAAGAGATGTTTAATAGATTTAGCCAGGAAGGTAAGTTCAAAAACAAAGCAATTGCCCATGAAAGCAAAACAGACTAATTACCCTCAGATAACTCAGGAAACAGTGTTAAGCAATGCATGGGACTCACCGGTTGTCAGTGCTGTGGGCTGGGAAATGTGGGTAAAGGGCACAGAGAAGAGCAGCAATGGACGAGTTAGATGTGCTCAAAGAGTACCTGCAGAGCAAATTCAGTGGGGACAGACATTATTAATTTCCATGCTCATATCTTCCAGGCATTCTTGAGCCAGCAAAGTGGGGTTCTGTAACAAAGTATACTTGATAAACAAAGTGTATCCTTGGTGTGGATATATCTCTTTACAGTCAATCCCTGTATCATTTCCAGAATGACTACTATTCAAAAAAAAAGTAACATTTTACAAATGTCACAATTCAACCCAGGGATTAATAAGTAAGGTTTATCCTAAAACAACAGAGTAAGGATAATGAAGTACTTTATCATTTTGATAAATCAAAATTCAAAGATGAATATTCAGATATTAACACTAGAAACTTGGAGATTAAACATAACAGTGCAGGCTATTATAAGTATAAATCTTACAGAAAAACATAACAATTTAAAAATAAAACAATCACTAAAAGGCAACGCCAGGGGCTGGAGAGACGTCTCAGCAGTTAAGAGTGTGAGCTGCTCTTCCAAAGGACCCGAGTTTGGCCCTCAGCACCCATGTTGGGCAACTAACTCACAACTGCCTGTAATTCAAGCTCCAGGGGAATTGACACAGGAACCTGAACTCAAGCGTATAAACCCTTCCGTAGACACACACAAACCATAATTAAAAATAAAATATTTTTAAAAAATAGAGACAGAAGCAGAGATGAAGAAAAGTGATCCAATCTGAAAGAAAAGCAAGTAGCCATACTAAATAAGATAGGGCTTATTTGGAATAAAGAAATTTTAAAAATCATAAAATAAAAAGAATTTTGATAGTTAACATCCCTTTATCCATTTTGTTGGCTCTTTAATTTTTATTGCTGTTGCAACAATTCAGAGGTTGGGTCCTGTACAAGATAGGTAGGCAAGTACTTTATGACTGAGTTATAGCACCAGCTTTAAACATTCATAATCCTAAATTACTAGAAAGAAGCAACTGTCACAAAACATAAAAGGGAAATGCACATCTTCCTCATTATCTCTAACTTCCAAATTTTAATTTTTTTATACTTCTAGAGAGGTGAAAATAAACCTATATAACTCAGAAACTAGAGCAGTTGGCCAAGGTCACAGACATCAGATAAGTAAGTAAAGCTACAGATAAAAGACAAGATGGCAAGAGACTTCAACCCTCTGCAACTGATGCAGAGCTAATGCAGTTTTGATTAATGTTTTATCAGATTACTTACTATGAAAATGACAAATTCCAACATTTATATGAAAAAAGGTCAACAATAGAAAAACGTACTTTTAAAAGTAAAACAAACAAACAAAAATCACTTTTATAGATCTCTCTCATCAACTCTTTTTATTAAGGAAAAACAAAACAAGCCAAATTCATTACCTTCCTCCTCCTAAAAAGAGAAGACCCAGGGCCATGTGATGGGCCAAGTGGAAACCATAGTTCATCTCTCCACCCGTCTTCATATGCAGATAGCGACACAGCTGCAACACCTTCAGGTTCCCAGAGCCAGCCATCACCATGGCAAGAGACAGCAGGACAACACTCAGACAGGTTTCGAGGTTGTAGGGCCCTGTCTGGTGACACAAAAACATGACTCTGTATTAACTGTAATTGCGTTTCTTAATTACCAAAATATCTGACAAGGAAGATTACAAATGTTTGTAACTTTAAAACTAAATTTATAAAAATGAATATTCTGATTATGAAATATAAATTCAATGTAGAGTTTAAAAATATAGCATCATAAATTAACAATGCACCACCCACTGAGAACTGACATTATCCCTATAGACATCATTCTCTCAGAAAACTCTTCCCTAAATATATAAATCTTAAAAAAAAAAAAGGCTCAGTGGTTAAAAGCACTGGCTGCTCTTCCAGAGGTTCTGAGTTCAATTCCCAGGAACCACATGGTGGCTCACAACCACCTGTACTGAGATCTGTCGCCCTCTTCTGGCCTGCAGGCAAATATGCTGTATACAAAATAAACAAATCTTTAAAAACAAGTCTTCCACATACATACATACACACATACACACATACATTTACAGATGAAAAGCAGACACTACCACATATGCTAACTCTCTTAGTGACTTACAAGCAATTTTTATACACAGAAACTATACAGCAATGGTTCTACTACATCTAATATGTAAGAACATATGGAAATGCCATAACTTAAATACCTAATTTCTGATAGTTCTAATGTTTTCGCATTATAAAAATGACTGCATGGGTCTGTGTTGTCAACCAGAAAATATACTCTGGCAGTCTCTTTGGGGGTGGGGGTGGGGGCAATGTCTCAAGAACAACTGTATCCTCCCTGGATTTTTTTTTTAAATTTTTAATTTAAATAACATTTTTTCATTTATTTTACATACCAACCAGCTTCCCCTCCCTCCTCTCCTCCCCTTTCCCATCTACACCCCCCTCCATTGCCATTCAGAAAGGGGCAGGCCTCTTGTGGGCTTGCACATAGTTCAGTCTTGCCTCTCTAAACTTTTTGGGTTTTTTTTTTCATGAAGGAAACTTTTAGTATTCAGTAACATAATAGAATATGAAGTATGACAATCCACAAATATTATATCTCTCTTATTTCTTCTCTTGTCACAAGAAATAGAAACACATGCATCCTCCCATGCTAATCAGAGTCTCAAGGGTAACCATATTCTCATCTAATTTAGTATCTTAAAACCAAAACATAAAGATGAGTAGTGCTTCAAATCTCCTTTATAATTCAAATAGCAAAGGTATTTGACAACCCATGAGTTTCGGGCTTATGAAATTTTCTTTGTTTACTTTATTCCCAAATAGGGGAAAGAAGAAAAAAAGACTTACTACAGAAGCATTGGGTGCAGATAAATAATTCATAAAATCTTTTGCAAATTTATGCTGGAAGAGAAGAAAAGAAAAATTGAAAGTTAAAAGTGGCATTTTTAAGGCTTTAATAGTAAAACAGAAGGAGAGCTCACAGCACAGAAGCACAAGCCAAGATATTCCTCACCAAACAGTTAAATGCTGATAAGTTTTCTGAGCCAGCAAATCGAAAACCCAGAGACAAGCAGGCTCCTGCAATTATGTAGACGTGTGCTTGCCTGAAAACAAATTACAGAAAACATAATGTTCCTATTGTCCTTTAAAAATCCATTATCATCTATCCTCTTGGAATAAAAATAATAAATATTCATCTTCTCCAAACCAATTTTCAGCCTTCTGAGAATGCTGAAGAAGGCCCTAACCTATCGGCAGATTCTGTAGATTTTTGCAGAAGATCACGTGACCTTTACTGACTAGCATGCCTCTTACACGCCATTCTTTCATATACTATAAAGAAGAACAACTTTAAAAGTCTCCCTCCACCATGGAAAGAATGAAAAAGGAGAAAGTACAACTAACTTTCCATTTTCTTTCTTTCTTTTTTTTACAAACAGGTTCTCATGTGTCCCAGTGTGGCCTTGAACTCACTTATATAGTTGAGGATGCCTGATCTCCTGCCTCTACCTCCTGAGTTTTACACACACACACACACACACACACACACACACACACACACACACACATCATATAAATAATGATTACAAAAATGAGGGATTCAGAATTACTCAAATCAGCCAACAATCCTCACATGGAAGGAAACTCATCTGACAGGTGCTAACATAGTTAATATTATGTGTTACATTACTTACGACAAGGTTTCCAAATTCAAGTCCTCTGAACAAGGCAATTCAATTTCACTCAAAGAGATACTATTTTCTCTTATAATCTGTCAAGACAGAAAGCAAGAATGTCTGAACACCACTGTTATAGTTACAAATATGCCATAAATTAGCTGTCATGGCTGTATTTACAAAAAGTAAGCTCCAAAGTGAGTGATTTATACACACATGGATAACCTGATTGTAACAGTAACATATACTAAAACTTAACCTGTAACTTCATATAAGAACAGGTTATTTCTGTTTTGACAGTAGGCAGGTCTAAATTCCTTTGAATTATTTTTTTAAAATTGTTTGTGTATTTATTTCTCTATTTATTGTGTGTGGGTGTCATGGTACGTGTAAAGGTCAGAGAATTTCTTGTAACCACAATTCTCTCCTAAAAAGCACAGGTTCCCGAGATTAAACTCAGGTTACAGGCTTGGCAGCAAGAGCCCTTACCGATTCACTGAGGCCTCTCACTGGGCCTCCTTTGGGTCTTTAACAGAACACGTACACTGGAGCCTGGGCTGGCTTCAAAGCCAACTCTAAGGTCACACACCTGGCAGCTCTGTGACTAATCCATAAAAGAACATAATGGAAGTTAATCCACTGACAGCTCTTAGAATTAGCAAGCTGTATACAGAAGCCCTTTGTGTTAGCTAGTTATTATTATACAGTTCCACCAGCCATGGTCACAACACCACACTTGATCATCAACTAAAAAAAGCAAAACTAAGAATATGAGTTGTAAATAACTGCAAAGAAAAGTCCTCTAGAATCTCATCCCTTCTTTTTCCATCATCCGATGCTCTCTTTAAATTACAAAAAATAAAAAATAAAAACAGGAGAGATGAGAGGGAGAGGGAGAAGGAGAGGGAGAGGGAGAGAGGGAGAGAGGGAGAGAGGGAGAGAGAGAGAGAGAGAGAGAGAGAGAGAGAGAGAGAGAGAGAATCACTTGCAAGCAGGTAGAGGTATACAGCAAATAAAAAAAGACTACCAACCCTTAGGTGGAGTGTGGTGTGTGCCTGTGAGTCCAGCACTCAGGAGGCAGAAACAGGTGGATTTCAAGTAGGAGATCAGCCAGGTCCTAACAGCCCTTGGTTCTGGGTTGCCCTTGCCTGTCCTATCTGGGTGATTCTGCCCAATGCCCATATAACCTAATGCACTAAACTTCAGCAGCTATGCACTAATTATTGCAAATCTTCACAGGAGCCTGATCCATGACAGCCAGAAGCTGAAGCTGCCCAGGCGCCCAACAAAAGACTACAGAAAAGTAACTGAAATGTTCACATGACAGAATAAACCTAAAGGATGGACTATGAACACTCAGTAACAGCACATACCATGCTGAGTGAATGGTTCGCACAAAAGATATGTTCTGTAGGTTACTTCATTAAAGTCAATTCATCAGTGAGACTAGCACATTGAGTATGGAAGGGTGAGTGCTCAGAGAAGCAGCATACAGGACACAAGCTTGTGGCCACGGGCACACCACATCTCATTAAACAGTACATTTAATTGTGTGTTCCATGATTCAAAAAATTTAACTTGATATCTAGTTAATGATACATATATTGATATGTTTGGGAGAAATTCATTATTATTTATAACTTGCAAATATAGTCAAAATTATAAATAAAATAATGGATGGGTAAGCAAACAGAGATGCGATTAAATGAGCTTATACAGTAAAATGTTACCTATAGCACATGCCAGTAACATGGGTGTTCACATAAAGTGTTCTACTCTGGGTATGGCGTGGAAACAATGCAGGACACACACTGGCAGCAGCTAATTCTAATACGGATTCTGAAGTCTTGTTAAAAAGTAGACTGCTGCTTCTAACTACTCAGCTCATTTACTATATCCTAAGACTGCAAATTTTATAAACAGAATCTTAGATAAATGTAGAACTAGAATAAAACATTAAGAGTGTTCCAGTTTAATTTTAAACAATACAACTTTAAAGTCTCTGAGGACAAAAGACTGAGAGGTCTGTGGTCAATATACGGCTTTTTTTTTTTTTTTACTTCTTTTCATCTGGTATATGGCATGTAGACATGAAAGCTTGTAGGTGTGTGTGTGTGTGCCTTATCCATTGAAGAAGGATCTCTTAATCAAACCCAGAGGTCACCAGTATGTCTAGTTTCAGCTGTTCCTTCTCCCACCAGGACTTACATGGGATCTGGGGACCCTAATATCACATCCAGCACATCCATTTCAGAAAGCACCACCACAAGCAGAGTACTCAGAGTAAGATCAGGGGGAAGACTCCAGCACCACCCATCCCTCCATGCCAGTCTATTCCCTCTATCAGATAGCCCAGAGAGGTTCAGTGGTTCCAACAGATCTGGGAACTAAGGGCTCGCAAGAAGAATGGTGACGTCCAGCAGGACCAGGACACCACAGCCTATGACCACCCCTGCAGAGTAGGACCAGTGTGAAGGAACAAGAACTGGATGTTTTAACTCTGGGCGAGCACTTTAGCTGCTATGCCATCTCCTTGGCTCTCAGAACACACTTTTAAAATGAATATTCCTCTGACTTCAAAAGATAAACCCACAAGATGAGCTGGAAAGACTGCTCAGCAGTTACAAGAATGTACTACTCCTTCAGAGGACCTGAATTCAACTTACACAACCCACTATAAGCAGCTCACAACTACAATGTAACTCTAGCTCCGGGAGGATCTGATGCTTTTTCAAGCACCAGCACTTATGTATGCACGTACACGCACTTAAAAATAATAAATAACAATTTTTTAAAAAGAAGATACCATAAGGATAAATGATTGTCTTCATGAGAAAAAAAATATTCTATAGTATGTTGGATATCTTGCAAGAAATCACAATTTATGTTATTAAAGTTACAGTATTTACGTACCTGAGGAACATTGCTGTCAACCCACTTGGAATTTGGTAAAATATCATCCCACAAAATCAGGCACCGAGCAAGTGTCTTAAAAATGAATTACAGACAAAATTAATTAGGCAAAGTTGACCTATTTCCTAACAATTATAGCAGTAAATAAACTAAAGATTAGTTCCCAACTAATGATTACTTTAAAAAACATAGACTATCAGCTAAATATATAGAGATTTAGATCTTAAAGAAAATTAAAATTCAGTTCATCATCATCAAAGTTTCAATGGTTTGCTGTGAAAAAAAAAATCACAAAGGAAAAAGCCACGGCTCAGTTTATACATCAACGTAAAGGCTTCCGTGTAGTGGTTCAAACATTAAAGAAATGCAGTACAATTTCAGACAGCACTAAACTATACTCTCATTACAACCTTAACAATAATACTGGTCATGAGCTGCCTTTTAGTAGTTGTTTTTTTAAACAATAATATAAGAAACATCATCCCAAGTATTATCTATCAGGTTGGTCACCTTTCCTAGTCTTCCTAAGCTCTACTTGGGAAACTTCAAAAGAACATTGCCAATCAGAAAATCATGGCAAGTTAAAAGTAAAAGCCTTTCATGGAAAGGCATTTAGAATTGTAGCTAAACTTGAGGATGACAAAAAAAGTCCCCTTCATGTCAAGAAAGATAAAAATGACAAAGCACCACACCCTAAGCAAGAGAAATTCTGGCTTCACAAAGTCCAGCAAATACATGGTATCAGGAGCTCGCAGCCAGTCAGCAATGGATCTGTTGGCAGAGGACATCAATGAAGGTTACTGCTCAAGAAAGCCAGGTAATCAAAACTCAAAAGACATCCAATCATTTTTCCCCTCCAGCAAAGGTCTAACCTTTTCATTAATGCTTCGCACATGCTCACATATTTATTTTTATGTCTCACTATAACATGTCAGTTTCATGAGGATATTTTAGTTTTGTCTTGTTCAGTGAAATATCTCCAGTATCCAGAAGACACTGACATAGCATCTGTTACCACTTTGTTAATTCTGCATAGAACTTTCCTAATTGAAGGAATTTAGAACATTGTAGAGTTTCATGAATCTCAGAATATTTTTCAAATTAAAAGAATTAAGGTGAGTTGGGGACATAACTCAGAACAGACTGAGAAAGCAGAAGGTTTGGTCATTAGAAAAGCTTCTAAACAAAGCATAAACCATTTTTATAAATGGTAACCAAATACAGAATAATGCTCAGTATTTCTGGCTTCAACAGTACTCACAAGAATATGCCAAACTACAAAAAGGAATGGGGCAGCTCTTTGGGCTTCCACATCTACTCAAAAGTACCAGGAGGGAGGAAAAAAAACCCTTACATCTAGATTAAACAGATGGTCTTTTGATTTTTTTAATCATTATTCTCGAAACAATACAGTACTAACAACCATTTATATGGTATGTATAAGTGTATCTCATATTGTAAGTAATCTATAGATGATTTTAAGTACTAAGATAAAATGCTTAGGTTACACACAAATCCCATAATTTTGTGGGTTCTAGTGTCTTTAAGGGGTCCTGGGACCGATAACCTAAACACAGTGAGACAAGTGTCCTGACAAACAGCATTACTAAAGAAAACATAATATAAAGTCTACTCAGCTCCTGTTATGAGAGAACAGACATGAGGCTGCTCTAGCACAGGGGAGATATACATGGGAAGATTATACTGCTGAGGACAAAAAGGATGCCACATGTCATGCAAGGGACAGGTGGGTGCTCATACCTGTTATTAGTTTTTAAGTAGATCATAGCCAAAGCCAGAGTAGCACCTGGACAAGTCACATCCACATTTATAGTATCGCCTTCCTGTAAAAGAAGGTATTCATGTAATAGCTCTGAATTCACCAGGATGAGCATACATACCATCAGCACACTACTAACTGTTGGTAGGAAATCACTACTTTGAAGCCAGCCTTAGCCCTCCCAGCTTGTAACATTCTGATCTCTAACTCTGATTTGACTTACCTTGATTTGGTAACTTGGAGATTTATGTTTCTCCCTGTGCATTCCAGTTTGAAAACGCCTATGACCTCCAACCATGTACTGATACAGCTGCTCAGGCACATTGAGATCAGACATACCAATCAAGTTGCTGCCATGCTGGAAAAATCAAATAACTAAGATGAAAAGAAGTCTTACAGCAGTAAATCAGCAACACATACCCATAAACCAAGGAACACTTCAGAAGAGGACATTTTAATTCTTTCAATTACAATAAACATCTTACACATTAACTAATATTAAGTATTAATTCTCGAAAACTGTAGTTTACATTCAGATCTACATTCTTTGGTTTCATAAAAATATATAAAGTCAAAGACATAACAACACTGAGAGTAAGGGAAAAGACTGAGTATATATTCAGAACCTGAACTGTGAACACATGAGTACCATTACTGTACCTGTGATCTCTACAGGCAAGCACAATAACTTACTAAATGCTTACTCAGTATCATGTTTAATTTTGTTGTATTTAAAATGAATTAACTCAATTCAGCAATATTGTTTGTCCTAATTAGCTTTGCTTGTTTTAACTTGATACAGCCTAGAGTCACCTGAGAGAAAAGCCTCAACTGAGAAATTGTCTAGATGAGACTGGACTGCCTTGATTATTAACTGATGTAGGAAGCCTCAGCCAAAGTGGAAGGTACGATTCCTAGGCAAGTGGTCCTGGGTTGTAAAACAGAGCTAGCTAAGCATGAGCCTATAAGCAAGCCAGAAAGTGAGCAAACAATCAGGCTCCTCCATGGTATCTGCTTTGGGTTCCCAACTTGAGTTTCTGCCCAGAATAGAAATGTAAGCAGAAATAAATCTATCCTCCCCCCTAAGGAGATTTGGTCAGTTTTTTTAACACAGCAACAGAACAAAACAAAGACACTACCGAATAACTACTAGTGAGAAACCCATTTATAATGAGGAGAGGGAGGTGCAACTGAACCCAGCCCAAGGTTACCTACCTAGCTGATGTGGGATTCCCCTCTGTATGATATAATTACCATTGATTAATAAAGAACTGCTTTGAGCCTATAGCAGAGCAGGGCAGAACAGAAGTAGGCGGGAAAAACTAAACTGAATGCTGGGAGAAAGAAGGTGAAGTAAAGGAGAAGTCATGTAGCCCTGCAGGAGACAGACGCCAGAACTTTAGCCGGTAAGCCACAGCCACATGACAATACACAGAGTAATGGAGATGGGTTAAATTAAGATGTAAGAGTAAGCCAATAAGAAGCTAGAGCTAATGGGCCAACCAGTGACTTAAATAATATAGTTTCTGTGTGATTATTTTGAGTCTGAACGACCAAGCAGCCTCCCTACAACACCTAGCTACTAAATGCCAGGGCTGAATGTCACACACAGCAGTTCTGCTCAACAGTCATGGGGTTGCTTAACCAACAGACAGTAATATAGTCAAATAATCACATTCACCATGTCTGAACCAAATTTCCAGTTCCAATTCACAGCTTTTTACATAGTACCACCTGCCTCTTTAGCTCCCACATCAGATGTGAGGAGAAAACACATAGCCAACAATGACAGATTTTAGAATACATGTAAGAAGCAACATGTTCCGTTACAACATTTTGAATATCATTTAGTTTGACTAGAACATGACATTGGTGGGTTTTCAAGGCAATCACATTCCAAGTAAAAAACAGTAATTACATGGAATGTTTTTGGTAGTTTTGTAGACATCTCTTGGATGGAGTTAAAGATGAATTAACTTGACACTGCAAAGCAACAGCTACTATGGCAACTCTCTGGAATATACTGATTAACAGAGCAGCAAAAGAAGATTAGGGCTATTGCTAGTGATTGTGACAGATTAAGGCTTCTAATCATAAATATTTTCACTATTTTTCTACTCGTGTATGTGTAGAGAGAAAAAGAGTGATCATTATATTTGTGTGAATAAGCATATGTGTTTGAGTGTGGTGCATTTGCATGTGTGTGCAGGTACACATACAAACGTGTATGGGTACTTGTATATAAGAATGCACAGGGACCACAGGAGGATACTGGGTATCCTGCTCTATCATTCTCCGTGTGTACTGAAATCCAAACTCAAGTTCTGGTGCTTACACCAAGCATTCTTATCCACTGAGCTATCTCTCCAGACCTATTTTCTTCCAGAGTGATTTACCATTCTTTATCTTATTAGCTCTTGAACGTTTTTCAAGAAATTTCAGGGGTGGAAAGACGGTTCAGTGGTAAAGAGCACTAGCTACTCTTCCAGAGGACCAGGATTCAATACCAAGCACAAACATGGTAGCTATCTGCAACTCTAGTTCCAGGGGGATCCAATGCCATTTTCTGGCCTCTGCAGGCATTGCCCATAAATGGTGAACAGACACATGTGCAAGCAAAGCATACACATAAAATAAATATGAAAGAGAAATATCACAGTTTAACTATAAACACATATAAGTCAGGGACAAGAAATCTTAAAGTCTCACTTCACTATAATTTTTCTCCACTGCAAACTTTGAGAAAATAATCCAGAAAGAAGAAAAGGCTGGGCTCTGGGTGACATGACAGGACAGCAGAGTGGCATTCAGGGCTAAGTGTTAAGGATGTTCCTTTCAGTACACAGAGACACTGGGTAAAAGCAGGGAAGACAGACTACTCACCCCCAAGCAAACCATACCCAGGGCCAGGCCAGCAGCTAAAGAGTAGGACTCTCTGTCAGTGCAATATTCCATTTCCGGACCAGGGGGGCGCCCTATGGAAGGCAGAGAAGCACAGGTCAAGCCAGCCTATTACAAACCCCAATTTGTAAAAGTTCTAGAGACCAAATACTTAAGATAAAGACATTGTCCAAAGGGCATCCAATTTAACAGCTGATTTAAAGTTCCCAAAGGTTCTTAAATTTACCTATCAAAGCTTCTATCAGCTTTCAAATACTGTGAAAACTTGGATTTTACCAGAAAGTTGCCAAGAAGTAAGAATTATAGTTTTGAAAGAGACAATTGCTTTGGGCAGGACAGAAGGCTCAGTGCTGCCGAACCTGACAATCTGAGTGCAATTTCCAGAACACGCATGGTGGGAGAGCAACTCCAGCAAACTGCCTGCTGACCTTCCACACTGGAGCTCACCCCAACAACACGTTAGGAAGCAGACATCTACTCTAAACAAAACAAAACAAAACAAACAAACCTGTTTTCACCAAAAAATAAATTAAAACCATTTTATCTGATTTTATTATTTTCAAGTACATTCATGCATTCATCAGATGTGATTTAAAATGTTCAAGAACTAATAATAAATAAAACATGCACTTACATTATGCTTTTAAGTTAAAAACTATTTCTAGATTTTTATTTGATTTTATATAATATCATGTATGTATGCTTATGATAAAAATTCACACTTTTAAAAGCACTACATTCTACTAACTCTATGCTTTAGGGCATCAGTTTTCAACCAGTGCATATCAGATATTTACATTACAATTCATAACAGTAGTAAAATTAGTTATGAAGTAGCAATGAAATAATTTTATGGTTGTAGTGAAGGGCCGCAGCATCAGGAAGATTGAAATCTGACACTTCAGAAAACAAAATGTGTTATGTATAAAGACCTCTCCCTTCAGAAAGAAGTTTATCCTTCTGGAATTATTCTCTGAGGTGGTGGGAGGATGACATTCAAAAGAGAAAAGTTACATGAAGGTAATCAGTATAATACTTATGTATGCTAGCAAAGAGATAAAAACAACTTCTGAAAGTAGCTGGAAAAGATGGCACATGCTATAATCCCAACACTTGGGAGGTGGAGGAAGTAGTTCTAGGCCAGCCTGGGCTGAGACCCTACCTTAAAAATAAAGGGGAGGGGAGGGAGCTGGAGAGATGACTCGGTGGTTAAAAGCACTTCTGCTCTTCCAGAGGAACCAGGTTTGATTCCCAGCACCTACATGGTAACAGCTAACAACTGTCTGTAATTCCAGTTCCAAGATATCGAACACCCTATTCTGGCCTTCATGGGCACTGTACATGATACACAGACATACACACAGGCAAAACATCCACACATAAAACAAACTAAAAAAAATTTTTAAAGCAAAAAAGAAAGTTCTAACAATTAGGTATTTTAGAAAACTTCATAAGATACACAATATTAAATTAATTAACTACCAGCAATAACATTATTTTCATTGCTACTTCATAACTGTAATTTTGCTACTGTTATAAATGTATCTGTGTGGGTTGGAGAGATGGCTGGGCTGGAGCAATGGTTCAGAGGTTAAGAGCACTGACTGTTTCTTCCAGAGGTCCTGAGTTCAATTCCCAGCAATTACATGGTGGCTCAGAACCACCTGTAAATGAGATCTGGTGCATCTATCTTCTGGCTGCAGAGACACACGCAGGCAGAACACTGTATACATACTAAATAAATAAACCTTAAAAAACTGTATTTGTGTTTTCCAATGGTCTTAGGTAACCCCTGTGAAAGGCTGAGAACCACTGTTCTAGATGAACAAGCTCTAAATAGCAGTGTGAGGGACCTTCTGGGTACTGTTTTCAGACCCATAATTTATGCAACTTTATATTTTGGTATAGGAATGTTTCAATTTTGTGAATCACTTCTATCACTATGGCAGATCAAAGGCGCAGCCACAATCTTCACTGTCCTGTGGTACAGCCATCTCATGAAATAGCTTTGTGGTGGACCTGCCCAATGTGGCATGACTTTGGCTGGCACAACAGCAACGGACTAAAACTTTTGTTATCAAGTCTCCTACATAAACATCACAAGAGAAAACACACCCTCTAGCCTGGCTCCTGGAAGAGGTGAAGCAGAACCAGAGTAACCAACAGAACCAGCCGGACAATTTAACTGTCGTTCGTTATGTAGAACGACATAACTGTGTTGACATAGCTGCAACAGTTCTGTGATGCTATCATGCTAAAGGATAATGCATCCTCACTAACACACTCTAGTTCAGAAACCTCAAAAGCTACTTTCCATGCTTTCCCTACTGGTAGCCAACGCTGTTCCGAAAACATTAAATGCCAAATTCTAGAAATAAAAATGCCCAACTTTACTTGAGCATTATAATCATCCTATTCTAAATCTCGGCGGAATCACCATATATTAGGAAAAATCCTAAAACAGCAGCTCTATGGGCGCAAAAATAAATAAATAAAGTTAAATTAAACCAAATTAAAATGCCCATGTTTTATTAAATGCAGCACTCTCGGGTGGCCGAGAGTATGGCAGGGGAGACAGAAAACCAGGAAGCACATGCAAAACCCGGGACCCACGTATTCCTCCTCTGGGCACCCACTTAAATACCCTGTGGGAGGGGTCTGACTCTCCCCCAGGGAGGGGTCAGGACTTGGCATGCTGGGATTTGGAGTACAGACCAACCCAACTCCCAGGCCAGGGGACTGGGATGGATGCCAAGGACTGGGGTGATGCTTCCAACTTAATATCACATTCTAACATCATGTACCATTGTTAATTCATTAATTTATAAGTTAAACTTGCATATACAGTGGCCTCATTATCTATAGGTTCTGCACCCATGAACTCAACCAACCACACCAAAATATACTTTTTAAGTTGTACCTGCACTGAACACAGATACTTCCATCATTAGTCCCTAAACAATACAAGTGTAAAAACTGTATAGCATTTACATTAAGATGTAAATCCTTTACATTTCACCAGTGATTAAAAGGTAACTGAAAGGTATGAGGTGAGCACAAGAAAGAGACAATCACTTGGTTATTTTTCAAGTGTTTTTATCCAACAGAAGAAAACAATGTGCTATTAGGAACCAAAACCATCTCGTTTGAAGTGCAGATCACTGCTAGACACTGCCTTGTGTGAGATGAACAACATACTCACGTGTACCCTCAAGCTCAGCTGTGAGTTTGCCAATCCAGGTTTACCACCTACACAGCAACAGAAGCCCTGACTACGTTACTTGTTCAGTTTTACCTTTTTGTTTTTTAAAAAAAATAATTATCTGGTCATTCTGTACTAATAAAAGCTACTCTTTGTTTTCCTTAGTTTTCATAATTTATCATTTTCTATGAGTATATGTTTGAGTGGAAATGTATACTGTAAAGATTAAACAATATTGACTGCATACCTATTTCAGCCAACAGGACTTCGGCAGTATGTCTGTGAGCTGTGCCCTGATAAACAAGGCCAATGCCAACCACTGCAGCCACTTGAACATTGTGAGGCACATCAAGCTCTGTGGATGTTGGGGGTAGGAGAGCAGGAACGTGAATGCTAAGAAGCCGGGTAATTGACATGTCCATGGTGCCAAGTTTTGCAGCAGAAACACCAAGCAGCAATCCAATGCTTGTCATTTCATGGCCCTATGAAAACAAACAAAATAAACCTCAGACACTACCATAACAAATATGGCTTTCTTAAAATAGTGTGTGTGTGTGAGAGAGAGAGATTAATTTTTAAGAAACCAGATATTGACTTTGGATGTTGTTTCTTGGAAGCTATCCATCTTAGTTTTTGAAGCACAGTCTCTCATTGGCACCTAAGACTCACATTCAGGTAGGCTGGCTGCCAGCAAGACCCCAAGGTGCCCTTTTCTTCACCTCCCCAGCACCAGAACTGCAAAATGCTCCACCAGAGCTGGCTTTGTTATGTGAGTGCTGAGAACCAAACTCAAGTCTTTGTATTTGCATGGCAAGCACTTTACTAACTAAGCCACCTCCCCAGCCCCAGTTTTAGATAGAATAACGCCTGCTTCTTTCAATAAGCACCTTTACATGGCAGTCACTGAGTACAGTGGCAAACTAAACATATGTGGTACCAGCTCTTATAGTGTTCTAATAGGGGAAACATGCTAAATTCAGAACACAGACACCCACAATTAAAATTGGTTTACAAATACAGAGTATAGAAGACTATTTAAAAGAGACTAATAATTTTTTATTAGGAGGAGCTAGAGAATTATTAGCTATCTCTAAAGAACCTAAACACATTAGCCAGAAAAGTGGCAGAAAGTGGGACACTCAAAGGAAAAACAATGGAAAAGCAGTACAATGGCTGCAGAAGTGAGCAGGACCACACAGGCCCCAGAAGCAGACAGCAATGGGGGATGAGTAAATGGTTCTGAGCAAAGGTCACACACTGATTTACACTTTAGGAAGACTGCTTCCTTCTAGAAGATGAACATACTTAGAAGTGCAGGAATGAAACAGGGCAAGTTAACAATCAGGAGGTAGGGCAGTAGGTATGTGTTACACAATGCCAGGCATAGGATGACAGGTTCTCACCTTGGTTAAGTAGTCATGGATATTGAGAGTAGCCAGCTTGGTAAGATGCCCATTCAGACCCAGGGCCATGAGAAATCCGGCGTACTCATTGGCTAACTCCGCATGCTTTGGCTTGTTGTAAACAATCCAAGCTGAGTCTATCTGGGAGGCAGGGGCTATCTTCAGGCCAGCAGCCACACCATTATGGAAGCTGGCCCAGCTTGTCATATTGGGAGGCACATCAATGTTCCCACTATTAAGATCTACAGTTGTGTTTCGTGGAGGGGCTCGCCCTAAGTAGAGAAAGAAGTGAATTAAGAACATTTACAAAATTAAAACTCAGGTCTTTGAAATAAGGTTGCCTTTATTGCATTCAAAACCCCTATTGGGGGTTGGAGAGTTTGCTCTACTGTTAAGAGCACTTGTTCCTCTTGCAGAGGACCCAGGTTCAGTTCCTAGCACCTATATGGCAGCCCACAACCCTCTGTAACTCTGTTTCTCAGAGATTCAATGCTTCTTCTAACCCCTTTAGACTCCTTCGCATACATGGTACACATACATACACCCAGGTACAAACATACACACAAAACACACACACACACACACGCATAAATACATCAGCTGGGCATGGTAATATGTAATTATCATGGTCATGTAATCCCAGGACCCCAGAGCAAAAGCAGGTGGAACTCTGTGAATTGGACTCCAACCTTGTCTACATACATTCCAGGTCAGTCAGGGTTTAGGGTTACATAACTCTGTCTCCAAAACCAACAAACAAACCGTACAGTTTAAAATATTTCAGAGTCCATTTTGCTAACACACAATAAAATAACTGATTATCTGGTCTGAGTTCTCACTGTTCTGCAGTATTTGCAACTGCAGGGAGGCACAATGAAACTAAATGGAGATCAGCACCACAGTTTAACTACATGAATAACAAATTCCCACAGATGACTGAGGAGACTGGTATTCATTTCAAACATTTACTTCTATACTGTTGTCTAGATATTAAAGCAAAGTGTAAATTTAAAGGATTTAAAGAGACAAGGACCTTCAGAAATCTGCCCTAACTGATTCATATGTCTATGCCTCAGCACATAGGTATCTGTAAATATCTAACACATGTTAGATATTAAAAATGCCAAATGTGGAGCTGGAGAGATGGTTGCACTTGTCAGGACCTCTTCCTGTCCTTTGAAGAGACCTAGAGTTTGGTTCCCAGCATCTGCATCAGGTGACACACCCACCTGTAACTACCATTGTTCTTTCACCTCCACAGGCACCAACACATGCACACACATGTACACACATATACAGCAGTTTCATTTAAAATGCTAATCCTGACATTTAAGAGGCTAAGGCAGAAGGATAGAAATTCTGAGGTTAGCCTGAGCTAAGACAATGTGTCAAAACAGAAAGTGTCTGTTTACAGAGAAGTACCTAGTGAATTAGAAAGGAACATTCTCTATTGTGATGGTCCGCAAGAGATATAAATTAAATGTTTGTGATGTTATAAGTTCAGTCTGGATTTTTCTAATTCCTTTGAGTATTGAAACATATTGTGTATACAAACATGACCATAGCTTTATATTATGAATGGTTTATGTTAGCTCAAATCATCAATGGACATTTTGAGACTGATGTGATGTCCACTGTGCCAAGATGACAACATGATAGACATTCAAAATAAATACTGAGTATTGTACAAAGCTACCAAAATCTTTAGAACTTTGAAAACACCATTTTAAAGATGTCTAAAACATTACTGAATACAAATTCTGAGTAGATGAACAGTGGCTGATTTGTGTCCTCTAGCCACACAGAAGAATGGATATCTCAAGACAACTTAAAGATTGTACAAAGTAGACTTAAAGATTATTTAAAATTCAAGTCTCACATTTAAAAACAAAACAAACAGGATCTTACTGTGTAACCCGGCTGGTCTGGAACTCTACCTCCTAAGTGCTGGGATTAAAGGCATGCACCACCACATCCAGCCCTAAATTGTTTTGCCTTTATCAACAATAACTCTCCGAACTTTTTATTTTTTAAAATAATCACAATAAAACACAAAATTAGTAATAGGCGATATTCATCTACTTTTTGGCTTCCAGCTGGTGGCCCTATTCCCGAAGATGGTGGAATTTGCGAGGTGTGGGAAATGTTGAAGGAAATGAGCCACTGAAAGCTGGTCTTTAGGTTTACAGCCCCTCCTGTGTGTTTCCTAATTGTTGGAATTTGAGGAAGCTCCAGCCCACAGCTGTTCCTGTCCTCATGTTTTCCTTGCAATCATGGACTGTATCCCTACAAACCAAGAGTCAAAGTGACTCTTCTCCTAAGCTGCTTATCATAGTATTTTGTCATGGCCAAGAGAAACATAAATTATACAATTTGCTGTATGAGCATCAATAACCACTATAGTGCTATGCTTAAGCTATAATGCTTAAAATCAATGAGAGCACAGAAACACTGCTTTGGTTTTAACAAAAATAATACAAAAGAACCCCACTCATCAGCAGGCAGTGGTGGCGCAGCCTTTAATCCCAGCACTCAGGAAAGAGAGGCAGGCGGATCTCTGTGAGTTTGAGACCAACCTGGTCTACAAGTGCTAATTCCGGGACAGGCTCCAAAGCTAGAGAAACCCTGTCTCAAAAAAAACCAAAAAAGACCCCCACCCATGTATGACCTTGGTCCTCTGTTGATGTGTCCAGAATTTAGCATACCTGTCAAATTTAATTTAGGAATAGGCAATGGCTCTGTTGGAACAGGATGATATGAAAACAAGGTAAACATTCCTCGTCCTACTGGAAGAGCCATAGTTCGCTGACACAACTGGAGCAGTCTATAATAAAAACACAAAACAACACACAAACTGTTAAGAGAGTTCATAGTTGGACTCTAACAGGAGGTAATTATTCAAGAGGGACTAAGATACACAATCCAGTCCTCACAAAGTACCTCCGCTCCAGACATGGGAGGATCACCAATTCCTCTCACAACTCGTACTCTCATCAGGATGCGGAAGCAGACACACATTGCCTTATTTGCTTTGAATGAGACCCAATCTCCTGAGGTAGAAAACACAACTAACTACATTCTACTACGCCTGATGCTAACCTGATCTAAAGAACGTACATTATTGGGGTGGTTCCTCTTAGTGTTACTTTCAGTTGAGTTGCATCAGTACACACAGATCCTCCTCATTCTTTATACCAACACTGCCTCAAAAACACCACTACCTCTGCGTATTGGACACAAAGGAAAGAGTCACCAGATCTACACACCAGGTATGTTCAGCTAAAATGGCTTCTGCTGCTCATACTGGAAAACTAACACCCCATGCTTGTTTCTGCATTGAATTTACTCTATATAGGCCCCTGGGACAAAAACTAACAGAAAATTTGGAAGTAGGCATTCCTACTTAAGAAAAGTTTTTAAACATCGCATTTGAGATTAAAGAAAGGCCCTTCAGAGGCTAACACAGGAATGACACTCTGCAGACAAAAATATTCCCTAGGCTGGTTTCTCCCTAATTACATAAATGCTCTGCTTCTCTAGCTTATTACAGCAGACTCTAACATTCTAATGCCCTAACATTCCTTGGAACAAGAACAGTACAATAACTGGGGATGCAGGAAATTGAAATCCATGAAGCTGGATCCCAAAGAATGTTTTATACATAATCCAATTCCACTTACAAAAGTCCTAAAATAAAGCAATAGCACCAATGCTGTAGCCCATGGATGCATGACGCCACTAACAGGATGCTTAACAATCCCATCAAGCACCAAGAAAAGCCCTCCAATTAGACTACCATCGACTGACCAAAAGATACATTCTGATTTCAGATATAATAAAAACAAGTGGGTCTCAACCTGTGGATCATAACCCCTTTCACAAGGCTCACCTACAACCTGCTGCATATCAAACATTTACATTACAATTCATAACAGTAGCAAAATTAGTTATGAAGTAGCAACAAAAATAACTATGATTGGGAGTCACTACAACATGAAGAATTGTATTAAAGGATTACAGCATTAGGAAAAGTTGAAAACCACTATACTAAAAGACTAAAGAGAAAAAAGAATCAACACACTGTTAATAATGGCTGACTACAGTGAGCTTTTCTATGCACTATGAAATACTTTAAGTGCTATGTAAAAGAACTGACCTGATACCAATAACTGATGAGGTGTAACTGTTACACTCATGTCTATTACATGACATGAGTCAACCCAAAAAATAAAAGGTTAAGTAATTTATCCAAGTTCATCCAGGAATGGTGTTAAGCCTTACTACAAGATTCCCCCACTCCTAACTATGTGCTCTAGCCTCAATTTCAAGTCATAACATGAGTCCATGCAGTGAGGAAATAGAGAGAAATCAGGATTTTTGGTAGACTGTAGTGAAGCATGAGTGACGACTGCCCTTGAAACCATAAGAAAAAGAAGATAGGCTGGTTCATACCTGTAATTCCCGCTCCTCAAATCAGGAGCCCCAATACAAGCTCTGTCTGTGCTAGAGTGAAATCAAGGCCAGCTAAGCAACTAAGTAATCTTGAGGCCAGGGGAGGACGGGAATAAAGGAAAGCGGAAGGAGAGCAGAGTCAGTCACCTAACACTCCTGTCCCCACAGATGGAGCCATGACAGCACCTGTCTCACACCTCCTGAAGCTAAGCTCCTAAGTTAGGTCAAAGAGTTCTTCAAAGCAACAAAAAAGTAACCAATACAACTGGTGTGAGTTTAAGCCACACTAAAAATTAGCAAACAAGTACCTCAAAATCTCCTCCTGAATTACAAAACAGAAGAATGAGTCCAGTGTATGCTTCACTGACAAATTCTCTGACTTAGATTGGCCTTTTCTGAAGTATGCTGTTATATTTCATGAGGAAGAGGTTATAATTATATCCCCAAAAACCAAAAATATTTTTAAAACATATATGGCTAACTGAAGTTGGATGTAAAATTAAAATAAAAGGTAGATTTTTTAACTTCAAGTAAGTTTCTTTGCTTTAGCTTTTAAGTATCTTAAATGCAAAAACAAACAACAAAAAAAAATTAGGTAAGTATTACAGTTTCATTTCTATGGCTGTGATAAATGACCTGACCAAAAGCATTCTTTGATAGGAAAGAGTTTATTTGGCTTAAAACCCCAGGTTACAGTTCATTATAGAAAAGGAAGTCACAGTGCAAAGTCTGATCCATATCACAGCCACAAGCAAGAGCAGAAGAGAAAATACACCCATGCTGCTCAGTGGTCTGCCACTTGCTCAGGTAGCTCTCTTCATTCCTAGACAGTTCAGGCTCAGCCGATGAAACCGTGCTGCCCAGTCAAGGTTGGTCCTCCTAGCAAGACAGTCCCCCACAGACCACCCTGATCTAAGTAATTTCTCAAATTAAATTCTCTTCCCAGGTAATTCTAGATTATAGCAAGTTAACATTTAAAACTAACCACCAAACTGGTAAGATGGCTTAGTGAGAAAAAGCACTTGCCACCGAGCCAGCTGAAGCCTAGTAGAAAGAAAGAACCAACCAACTCCTCTGACCTCCACATACTCACTGCACTGCATACACACCACACAAATACAAATAAATGTTTAAAAAAGAAAAGTTAAAATACTAAAGGAAAACAAACAAACACAAACTAGTCTCAAGTGTAACACACTGGACAGGATGAACCATTTTACCTGTTTTCTTTCTCTTCAATGAACTCATGGTCACTGAGTTCTGGGTACTGCACCACATTGACACGAACAGGTTGTGCACTCTGAAGCAGTCTTCGCACATCCTGCACCCGTAGATCTTCACTCCATATTAATGACATAACCTCATGATTCAAATCATTCATGCCATCGTCTTCCTCCTCAGCCTCGGTTCCCGAAGACACATCTGAGGAGAGCACCTACATAACAGACTTTATGGTAGTGATTTGAGAGGCAGCTGTGTGTCTAGACTGAGAGGGCAAACAGGTTAACAGTACACAACTCTACACTAGAGGTAAGCATAACTGGTAGGCGTCCTGAAGTCACTCTACACTGTCATACAAGCTCAGCTCTTCGGCACTGGGAGGGCACTATGTCACAAAATCTGGTCACACTCTCCTGATCCCATTATCACCCTGAGCCTACATAAGTATGTAGTTGCTACAAATCTTCTTAGAGTACTGCACTGGAGTCATTCTTTATTAAACTGAAGAAATGAGTTTATATTTAGAGTTATAATCAGGGAGTTGAATCTACTAAAACAATCCATTTGCTAATTCTTTTTTTCTTCAGGGAAACCAGTTACTCCAAAAAGAAGATGAGGAACTCACTATTAGTGTAGGACTGAAACCTACTTCCACATTAACAGAAGCAGAGGAATAAAACCTGGAAGACACCAGCAAAGGCTGACTGAAGCAGCAAAAGACTTGGATTGTGACTGGTTTTCACTTTCCATTTCTACACACCTGCAAACCTCACCTGTGCTCTATCTCACGCAGGGTTTCCCAGCCCCATGCTTCAGTCTGACTACAACACAATGTACACTTCATGGACACTCCATCTCCTCTCAAGCAAAGTTCTACACTCCAATAAAAGATTAGATCCTAATTAAAATGCTAGAGTTTTCTTATTAGTGTGGAGGAAACAAAGCTAACCTGGGAAAAAATGGAGTGTGTGTGTGTGTGTGTGTGTGTGTGTGTGTATGAGACAAGATAAAAACTTACTTTGGTTCCTATGGAATAACCAATCAAAAACAAACTATAACCATGCACTACACAGCACTTCCTCCAAGAGCCTGCACACATGATAGTGCTTCCCTGAGATAGGATCTATGCCGAGAGACCCAGCTACAAACACTGTCATGCCTGCACATCAGAATTGCCTAAGGACACATTTCTCAGAATGTATGCCATCATTACACAATATATTACTGTATATTCTAATGGATAACTTAGCTAGAGAACATAACCCCAAACAGCAGAAACAAGTTGAAATTTAGCCTCAAATAACTGAAGAAACAAAATTTAGACAAACTTGCCTAGGCTGCCGTTTAAATAATTTATAGATTAATATTTATAGTGTTTATGAGCTGAATGGCTCCCAGAAGCAAAAGAAATATAAATGCCAAAGATCTTTGTGTGCATGTGTGTGTTTGTGTTTTGGGACAGGGACTCACTATGTAGTTCAGGCTACTTTAGAACTCATGGTGACTCTCCTGGCTCAGTCTTCCAAGTTCTGATTACAAGCAATGTACTACCACACCTGGATTTTCTTGATCAAGAAAATAAGAATGGATTTATATTTAAAACAGGACAAATACAAAGTCAACTGAAGTTGCTATTTATACACAAATTTGAGATTAGACTCCTATGGGAACTGATTCTATTCTAGCTCAAGTCCGAGGCAGGCAACTGCTGGGTTAGGAGAGCCACTGTGACTCATGCACACCGATGATGATGGGTGGACTCAAAGGCTAACAGAACAAGCCTGGTTCCCACTGTTTGCTCTGAGATGTCACACAGATCTCTGTGAGCCCTATGCCTGTCAGCCTGGTCTACAGAGAGATCCTGTCTCAAAAACAAACACACAAAAAATGCTACTCATTTCTAGGCTTCTCAGAACCCACTCTGAAACGGGTATAAAGAAGAGAGTCTTTAAGGCACCTAAATAACTAACCCCAATGGAGAACATATTCTTCCTCAGGCTTCAGTCTTCCTGTTATTCAGGGATTGTGCAAATATATTTATACCTATTTAAAAGGCTATATTCAAGAAATCTAATCTCTTAAAAAATATGAATGAGAACACTTATTATTACAGTCAGTCAAGAGGGTACAAAGGCTCTCGGTTTTCCTGTGTAGTTAACAGCTGCTTCCACAGGTACAGGTAGCTGAACAGGCATGGCCAGTGGCTTGCTGATTCTGTACCTGTCCTGACTCTGGGCAAAGAAAGGTACAGGTAACACAGGGCAGTCACTAAGTCCACAGCTCCCCTGTTCAATTATAAACTTTATCTGACTTACAAAAGGCAAACTGTGAATACAGTTACCATAATGTAAAGGTACAAAGGGAAAAGAAGTCAAAGTTCCACTTTGACTTTATCTGAGCCTAAACTGAACTTCCTGTGTTGATACTCACAGATTTGCCTCTGGGTAAGTTTCCTTCACAAGCCTGCTTGGAAAGATCCTGCCGTCCAATCAAGAGGCAGACAGCTTCTGACCAGTCTGAATCAGGCTGCTCCCGACAGTGATAGATTGCATCCCTGATGGGAAGAGCAATCCCAAAGGGAAGAGTCTCCAAATCTCTTAAAGTGAAACCTTGGAGGAAAACAAAGGAAGAGAGGCTTTTCAGTTAGATCTGCCACTTCCCTAATCATCCTCAAACTAGTGAGTCAACAAACACTGAAGTCCACCAGTACTAAGAGCAGGGGAGAACAGCAAATAGCAGTAATTCTCACCATAACTAACAGTGCTGTAAACTGGTACCATTACTCTGGGAGTTGGCAAGATATCTCCACTCCTTTGGTTACAAACAACACCATGCACATGTGCACCAAGATATAAGAATAAAAATATCAAGTAGGAACTTTGTTTCATTATGGTGACTAGAAAGGGGAGTAAGGCAAGTCCCACTGTCTGTCTTCAATAAATGACTTAAAACTATATGAATCAGCTCAGGTGAATGTGGTACTTGTATGTACATACACAAAACACTCAAACATACATTCCTAAAATGACTAATGAAGAAAAGCAAGGCAAAGGTCATATATAGGTAAATGAGTGGCAGCAGCCAGGTAAGTATTAGCTGCACTTGCACTGGTCACACTGTTTTAAAAGCAGGTGACCAAAACCAAAATTTACTTTATTATTATCCTCTATATTCACATTTCACACACTTTTGTATGAATATATTCATATAATATTCAATATATTTTTATTTAAAATACTTGTAATGCTCAGACCATTCAAATTTCTATTCTATTACTTTTCTAGAAACATCCTAAACTTCACATTATCCATTATTCATGATATAAAAGTTGATCAATTATTGAAGCAAAAATATTTCCTTATATAGGAATAATTTTTACTAAATATTATATAATGGACAGAATTCATCTAATATTTTTCGTTTACTCATCCTATATGTACACTGTAAGACAACTATTGTTATTTTCAAACAAGTCACACAGAAAGAACTGAAAACCTTCATTGAGAACATACTCTGGGTAAAATAACAAGAAACACTGCCTCCTGATTGCTGTGACTAAAGGTGTGTGCCACCACTTCTGGCATGGGTAACTTTGCTTTTTGTTGTTGTTGTTGTTGTTGTTGTTGTTTTTCTCAGTTTTTTTAAAAAACAAATAATTTTACTACATTTTTAAACCTAGGAGCAAGGGCATTTGGAGCAAGAAACAAAGAATTAATTTTCCTCCCTTCTTGTTAGCTGAGCATTCACTCATCACAGTGCATTTGAGAGCACTCTCTGAAGTGCTTACACGATTGACCTTAAATGATGCCAAAGTGCCCATTTCTGATATCTAAATGTAAAGTCTCAGAATGGCTTCACAATTAGATGTACATTAACTAAAGTTTGTCATTCTGAGACCAATTTACAGAGCTAGAGCTACTGCCTCCACCGATCCACAGGGAATGAAAATAAAGATTTCTAATGCCTTAAGATATAAAAGGCTGATGTCCCATCTACTCTTATACAGGAAGTTGTGGATGCTCAATCTTCAGCCTTTACAGACAACCAGAGCCTCGCCTCTCTCCTCATGCTTCCCCAGTCCAGGGAGAGCAGGGAAGTCATGACAATACAGTCCCAAGATGACAAAGCAGCTCTTACCTACATTGGTCATCCAGACAACCAATCTTTCTGCTAGACTGGAAACTGAAGCAGAATGCCGGAAAGTAAACCTACCAAGAATAAAATAAAACAACATTAAACACAAACATTTAACATAGCTACCAATTTTACATATGAAAGCACAATCTCAAACAAATTACCTGTTTTCTTCCTGTTCTGCTTGTGACTTCTGGGGGGCTGAAAGGCAACAGATAGAAACTTTATTTTGATTGACATTCTGGAAAACAACATACAGAAGATATCTGTAGATAAAAATTCATTAACCAAAAACTCCTTCAAAATAAAAAAAATCAAGTAGTACTGTGGCAAGCTGCAACAGACAACCGTTTTCTTTAGACTAGCATAGTCCTATACAGTCATGCTGAGAATAGCAGCCAGGTGTGTCAGGCTTTAAGTAAGCCGAAATTTGAAATTCAGCTGTGGCTGTAGACTGAATGGTATTATAAAGAAGTAAGATGGGTCTCTAAAACAAGCATCTTAACATCCTACTTGGGATACCCAAACACTGTAACACAACTTGACAACTTACTTAAGGTTACTTTGGATAAATACTGCGAGGCTTCATCAGAAACACAACTCTCATCACCAAGGATGTAGAGTGCAACGCTCTGAAGAGGAAGAAAAGGAATCTGTTACTTGTTTTTGTTGTTGTTTACTTTTAATTCAGTTGTTTTGGTTATTTTTATTTATGAAACAGGCTGTCATGTAGCATGAGTGACATCAAATGCCCCATCAGATCAAAAAAGATCTGAGGCTGGCCTTGAACTACTGAGCCTCCTGCACTTCCTAGTGCTGGGATTACAAGGAATATGATCCCACACCCAGATGAACCTGTTCTTATTAACTGAAGAGAAGGAAGAAAGGAAAGCATAAAGGAAAGGCTCATACATTTAGGTTTCCAACACTACAAGGCCGGACAACATTATATAACACCACGTGACTACTATCACTCTCAATACAGAAAAGCTGCATCGTGCCTCACACACCCCTTGTGTTCTGTCAGCAACCCTTCTCCACAACGTTAGAAATAACTTGCCTGCTCTCCTGCCCCTAGCCTATCTGTCCTACAAGATGTATATGGGATGACACAGCAGAGTCTTTCCAGGTCTACTGTACAACAAAGCACAGACATGAGATTTATCCTCTTTATGCCACAACCGCTAGCTTGTTCCTCTTCACTGCTGAGTAGTATCCATTACAGAGATGCCAACTTAATACATCTACTCAGGAATTGATGAACATGGGCTGAAGAGATGGCTCAGTGATTAAGATCACTGGTTGCCCTTCCAGGGGACCCAGGTTCAATTCCCAGCACCTACATGATGCCTCTCAACTATCTGTAAATCCAGTTCCTGGGCATCTAGCCTCTATGGGCACTGCATTGCACAAGGTACACAGTAAGTATACTTGCAAGCAAAACACCGACACAAGCTAAATAAAATTAATGATTTCAAAAAAACCTTTTTAAATTAAGGGACATACAGGTTATTCCCAGCATACATAGGTTATAAGAAAACTGATTCATGCCCTTACACGCAGGTCTTTGTGTAGCCAATACATTTCATACCAGAGAATAAACCTGTTTGAATTATGGTAAATATATGTTAAAATTTTTAAAATTTTGGAGCATTCTTTTATTAGCATAAGCAAAGTGAAAGTTTCATCTGCTCAATACTCAACCATGTTTTTAGTTATCCTTACAGATACCTAGTCATATCCTAACAGTACCTAAAAGTAGTAGCTATTCAAAAATCTCGTTTAGCCTTCAGTTTGTTTAGAAACAAATTAACTCAAAAACAATACCAAAAAAAAAATAAACCAGTTCAAATGAATTAAGATCACACACAAAAAAATTATTTCTGTACAGTGTATGTTGGTGTATGTATGCATGCATATTCCTGTTGAGTGCTCATATGTGAATATGGACATATGTGTGGCATAGGACACATATGAAGGTCAAAAGACAAACTCATCTGCTGGCTCTTGTCATCCACCTTGTTTGTGGCAGGGGTCTTTTAGTGATTGGTCCTCTAGAAGAGCAGCCAAAAGATCTTAACCACTGGGCCATGTCTTCAGCCTCCCAGGCAGGGGATATTAGTCACTACTGTGTAAATCAGGGCCTGCAAGCTTCTGAGGAATCCTGCCATCTTTGCCTCCCATTTCCCTGGAGGCACTCTGAGATTACAGATGTATATCATGGCATCAAACGTTACATGGATTCTGAGGATCCAAACTAGCCATACTTACAGGACAATCACTTCGCCCACTGAGGCAACAATATCCTTATTTATAAGTATCTAATAGCAGTATTCCAATAAGAGGTACATAATTTGGCAAATTCACAGAACAGAAGTTACCAGGGCTAAAAGGGAAGAGGAATAGGAAACTACTGTTTAATGGTGCACGGTTCATGACAAACTGGTTACAGACAACTAAATGCCTAGGAGGCAAGTCCTTTGGGCATACTTGTAATTGTTGAGATTAAGGTTAGCCTCTGAGAATGCCTGAGGAATTACCTTGATTATGTTAACTGATGTAATTTTTGGTGGAACCATTTCCTAGGCAGAGGATCCCAGACTATATAAAATGAAAGCACAAACTAAGGACTTAGGCATGAATTCACTGGATTCTGCTCTTGACTGTGGATATGATGTGACTGACTAGCTGCTGCAATTTCCTGCCATCCTGACTTCTGCTCAGTGATGGACTAAAGATGGACTTGTGAAAAATAAGCCCTTCCTCCCCTAAGTTACTTTTCTCAGGTGTTTAATCACAGCAACAGGAAACTAAACTAAGATGGGGTAATGAAAAAATTTTGGAGAAAAAGTGGTGATGATGATTACATATGTGAATTAAGAGAAAAAAAAACACAGAACTGCCTACCTAGAGCCATGGAAGACTGAGAAAGCCCTGTTCAACACGAAGAAGAACAGAACAGAACAGAGAAGGGCAAGAAGAAAGAATGTTTACAGATTTCTAACTTTGATAAGAGGGGATAAAAGCAGTAGGAATCTCTTGTACTTCTGGAAAGATCCCTAACAGGCCTACACATATACTGCCTCAGAATCAAGAAACAAAAGCTTATATGCCAAGGAACTCAACTTTACTAATGCCGTCTGGTTCTATATGCAAGTTTGGGGCTTGTATTAACTATTCAAGAACAACAACATTCTAAAAATATATTTCTTTGAAAAATATTTCAGCAGGACTTTCAATAACCATAAGTCAACTAATTATTAAATAGGCAAAGGTTATAAAACTGTTAAGACAACTTCTAAAGAGAATAATAATGGGAAGAAGAGTACCACAAACCAGTTTTAAGGTTTACTATGAAACTACCACAAACAAGACAAAGTGGAGAACACACAAGTTCAATGAACCACCTGGAAAAGACTTGACAAAAGCATAAATGCAAAAAAGGGACGGTCATGTCAACAACTAGTGTTCAAAGAGCCAGCCAGCCAAAGAGTAAAACATTCTCAAGGCATGGCTAGTCAGGGGTGGTAGTGTTGTCCTAGGACCATAGCAGTTGGGATGCTGAGGCAAGATCACCGTTCAAGACCACCTTGGTCGACATGGTAAGTGCTACGTGAAAAAAAAAAGAGAGAAAGGCTTTCTTGGCAGAACAACAACACAAAGTTAAAGGAGGAGACAGCAGCAGCAAACCACATTTTGACAAAAACTACTCAGCAGAAACCTCTAAACAAAATCATAGTCACTAGGAAATGCAATTAAAAAGCACAGTAAGACAGACTACAGAGCAACCAGATTGACGAAAACAAAGAAGGAAAGTATCAAATAACTGACAAGAATTCAAAGCAACCTCTCTAAACATTGCTGGAGGCAATATGGAACAAACAGATACTCGGGAAAGCAGTTGGAGATTTCTGTAAAGACAGGTATATACTTAGCATATAGCCATCAACCCCATCCTCTATTCTTACCCTATGGAAATGAAAGCTTATGTTGACATTAAAGTCTGTGTGTGACCTTTTGAGTATCTGTATTTATAGCTGATAAAACCTGGAACCAACCCAGCTATCACATAAGCCAACTACAGGGGCAAAAATGCAGTGGACTGTCAGCAACAGAAGTCAGGATCTGGTAGCATGAATGACAACTTCGATAACTCTCAAAAGAGTGATTTTGGAGAGAGGTGTTATAAACGTTCAATATTATAGTTAAAATGGTAATAATGAAACTATTCATCCGCTGTAATTTATAGAACAGTATGGGGGAGAGAAACACTGTAATTTTACTTTATGTGTGTACATGTGCATGCTGTTTGTTCTATATATGACAATTTAAAGAAAACTAAAACTAAGTAAGATAGTCAATACTCCAGATACATACCAAGACCACGAGCCTGCTCCTTTCGCAGACCCCAGGGAGGTAAGGATAGGGTGGCATTCCTTCGCCCTTCAGACAAGAACTCACCCACTGATAAATACTTGGCGGCTCAGACGTAAAAAACGAGGGATGATGCAGAAATCCCGTTTGACCTTTAGAATATACAAATGTTTAGAAAGGCACACAAATACGTAAGACAAAAAGGTCATAGTACCTGTCCTTTCAAATTATAAGAACTATATTTTCAATGATTATCCAAAATATTTTTGTCATAGTAGATGGCTGATTATTTATAAATTTAAATTATTTATATTTTACTCCATTATAAATAGAAATTCAGCAATGTCATTTACAAACCATATACCAAGAGTTGGACAGATGGCTCAGTAAAAGGCACCAGCCACCAAGCCTGATAACCTGAGTTCGATCCCTGGGTCCTACATGGTGGAAGGAGAGAACTGACTCCAAAAAGTTGTTCTCTAAATTCCACACATATGTAATGGCACATGCACACCCATACTCATACAAGTATGCACTGCCGCACACACAAAATACATATAAAAGTAAATTTTAAAAAATAGTTTTTAAAGAATCTTTTTTTTTTTTTTTTTTTTTTTTTGCCTAGTTCTGTAAAGGTAAAAAAACAAAGGGACACAAAAGACTAAGCTCTGCTCTTTGAGTCCCTTCAGGGCAAGCCTAGACTAGAGCAGTGGAGAGAGGGATAAGTGGTAACTACTAGCCCTATATGTCTAGTGCACTGAGGAACTAAACTTTTACAGTAATTAAAGTTAAGTATAGCCATTGGCCTCTACTGAACAGCACAAGTCAAAGTTATAGTGTTTATGACACCAGAGGTTGTTTAAGCTTTGGAATAGGTAAAGTTTTAACTACACACTAAATAAGTTATGGCTTACTTCAACTCAGTGGTCAAATGCTACCAATTTAAAACCGCCTGGCTAAAAAGACATCTATCCTTTGCTTTTCCCCGAGACACAACAAACACCTATCCACTACTCAGAAGACCTGCAGGGATGCCAACACTCACCTGGATCAATCGCACACACTTGTCCAGTAGTTCTGACTAGAGTTGGGTAATCTCTGTAGTAGTGATCCATGTAAGCCTCTAATTTTAAGTCCCTATAACAGTAAGAGCATACACAAAAGTGTTAAAGCAGCCCCCATCAGTTAACTTTGCAACTTAAAAAGCATGTTTAGAGAAAGCTTTCAGATCTGGAGTATTTCCATGTGTATCTGGTGTCACACGCAAGCATCTGTCTAGACAAACTTCATTAAGGTCAAACTAGAGAAAGAGCACGATCTTGCTCCTTCCTGCTGTTTACTGGCTGTGTGATCTGCGGCAAGTATCTCTACAGACCACAGTATTTTCTTCCAGAAAACAGAGACATATTATCTAAGCCACTCTGAGGCTTCCCCCCGCCATAGAATAGTTTCTCTCAGACACAATATTTCCACCAGTCTTCCAAGCACTAGGATTATAGGCATGTGCCACTACTCCTGGCTACTACAAGTTTTGAAGAATAAATAACATATGTATGGAAAATATAGGACATGGTGGCACACATCTGGAAATCCTAAAATTTGAAAGGATGAGGCAGGAGCATCTAAAGTTTTTAGGTCAGCCATAGCTACAGGGGCAGGTGCTATGTATTTTCTGAAAGCCATAAATTAAATTAAATACAAAATGACATTTGTGATGACAATGATCTGTCATAAGGGGATCAGCAAATAAACATGCCAAGTTTCAAAAGTATTTCAGAATCCTCAGAATCACAGAAGTCAGAGAATGTGCTATCATCTTAATCAAGAGGCTGAAATACCAACCTGAACTGAGAAGGGGAGACTGGAGTTTTTCTAACGAGGCTCCTCTACATATCACAGAAAGCAAACCCTCTGAGGACCTAATGCAGTGTCCTAACAACACCTACCTTGCTAACTGAACAAGCAGGTCAACAAGGGAACAAATTCCTTCTCCCATTAGAGTATTCAGCTTGAGCTCTTCATAGACAAGGTGAAGAACAAAGAAAATTGCAGGAATGTGAGGAAAGAGAAGAGTTGAAGAATCCAGACTAAGGTTCTGTGAAAAATCTTCTTCTTTCACCCTTGAACTTTCCAAAGCAGTCAAACATAAAGATTTGTTCAGAAGATGAGACTCAACATTGTGATGGTAGTCTGAATTCAGTAAGTATTCCCAGTCCTAAGAAGAATAAAAAGGACAATAATTACTTACATAGTGCTTATTGGAAATGCCATTTTAAAATAACTGCAAGGGACTGCAGTTCAGCAGCTAAGAGTACACACTACTTTTGCAAAGGACCTGAGTTTGGTTCCCAGCACCCACAGCAGGTAGTTCACAACCACTTTTAACTTCAACTACAGGGGATCTGGTATCTCTGAACTCCATAGGCACCTTCATTAAAAACACAAAAGGAAACACTCTACTGTCCGACAGGAGGGCAAAGCAAACTACAATATAGTCATAACACTTGGTAATAAAAAGAACATACAACTGATACTCCATCACCTTGGATCATCTTCAGTACATTATGCTGAATGACAGAAACCTTATGTACAGAATACAGAATACATCTATGACAGACACAACTAATGAATGGTCAAAGAATTCAAGTCAGTGCTTGATTAAAGATAAGAGGGAAAGGGTTGATTACAAATGACACAAAGAGACAATATGGAAAGGTACTGTGCTCTGGACCACTTTAGACTATACCATGGAATCTGAGGTATTTAAGTGTAAAGCAGAGAAATGCTACATAAAAGAGTAAATGCTGCTGGGCGATGATGGCACAGGCCTTTAATCCCAGCACTCAGAGGGAGAGACAGGAAGATCTCTGAGTTTAAGGCCAGCCTTAAACTCCATCTACAGAGCGAGTTCCAGGACAGCCAGGAATACACAGAGAAACCCTGTCTTGAAAAAGCAAAAATATAAAACAAAAAAAAAAGGGTAAATACTGGCAAATAGTTGATCAATTACCAATAAATATCCACAAGTCTACACTGAAATCATGTAAAAACATATACATTCATACTAATTTTTGTATGATGATCAAAGACAAAATTAAATAAATGACAGAAAATGTAACAGATTTTATCCTTCAAAATAATATACTCAGAAGTAAAAAAGAAAAAGCAAAAGATACTGGAAAAACTGACAATTAATAGGAATATCAGACATGGGATATCTGTGCAAGTCTCCACAAATGAGTAATATTAGCAAGAAATAACAATGCTTACATCATCGGATCCAGTATCAGAAGGCCTCGCTTTTTTGGGTGCAATGACTGGAGAAAGTGATCCTTCAAAGTCAGACTGAAAAACAACCACAAAGCAGAAGACAAAATCATGATATTATTATTGTTAATTGGCCAGTTTAAGGATTCAACTGTCAGTTCTGCTAATTAAAAAAACGGAATAAAGTCATTAACACTCTTCTCTTCACCAGCACATGTGGTGCAAATCTCTTCTTAAGTCACCACGGAGCTAAACTGTGAGTGCAAAGCATTCAGTACAGTGCCTGGGTACGTAGGTACAGTAATGGTCATTTGCTTCTCTCCCCTACTTCTCTAATGACACAAATTATATCCAAACAAAGGAGCACGAAAAATCACATAAGTCATAAGAGAGAGTCAGTAGCACTCTTTGCCATGTTATGAAAATGGAAAGAAAAAATAAAATCTGGACAAAGAGAAAATAAGCACCATGAACCCTGCTGGCTAATGAGAACCATTTTGTCCTAAGCTTTGATCTAAAAAACATGACCTAAGTTTAAGGTGTCAAAGTAACATGGCCTTGAGAACTGGCTTTCAAGTTAGGTGGAACTGCAAACGTACGGCTTTAGTTACTAAAGAGACTGTGGCAAGAGTTGCTGAGTATACCTCAGCACCAGCCTAGGCATATACTACGATTCATCTGGTTTTTTGTTTGTTTTAAAGGGATTTTCTTCTCAATTAAAGCTATTTGCAACATGGAAGACAGTGAACCATAACTTTCTTTACAAAAGGGTGGGTGTTAATCCTTCCTACCACATGAAAAATGTGGGATGAGCTAGTTCACTAATACTCTGCGAGACAGTGGTACACAACTCTTGATCAACAAGCACTACAGGTTAATTACACACACAAAAAAAATAAAACCTACAAAAAGTCAAAGGGTACTTAATCAAAATTTTAAAATCCTCTCACCCTCTATGTGATAAAGTACAGAAAGACAGGAGGAGGTAACAACTGTACTACAAACACTTAGACTAAAAGTCAGCTCTGCTCTCACTGGAAGACTGTTCTCAACTAAACTACAAAGGGCAATTCCTTTACACACTAAATGACATAAACTTAGTATTGAGGACATTCACTCAGTAGCTGTTCACTGAGCATTCGTCTAAGCCATGCACCACAGGACAGGGTAGTGAAGAAGACTGAGCAGAATTCCCTGCCTCACTAGAATTTATATTCCAATGGACAAAGGGAGGACAGACAGGTAAGTATAGATACTTAACAGATGTGCTAACAGGCGAATAGGGAAGGAACCAACTGTGCACAGGACAGACGGGCAAGCTGTACTGGAGTGACAAGTGAACAGTGACCCAAGCACGCCTTGTCAGAAAGGAAACAGCAAGTGCAAAAGTCCAAGGATGGGACATACTTGCAGAGCTTGGGGAATAGAACAGAGAGGTCAAGGTGTCTGGCAGAGATGACAAAGAGCAGAAAGGAACGAGAGGATGAGGTGACAAGGCACAGTGCAAATCCATGCCTTATATCCTGAACAAGAGAGATGTCTCTGGAGGAGTCTACACCAGAGGAGTGACTAAATGGCCTGACTTTATCGGGTTGCAGAAGGAAACAAATGCAAGCAAACGGCTGCAAACAGCTAGTCAAAACCTCAAGAGTTATACTTTATTCTTAATTGACCAGTAAGAGCCAGAAAAAAGAAGCTCATTCCCACATGCATAGAAATAAGAAACAATTGCTCCAGGAGACTACTTCCTAAATATAAATCCAGTGGCACAGACATTGAGAGAAACAATTAATAAATGAGACCTCCTGAAACTGAAAAGCTTCTGTACAGCAAAGGACACAGTCAACAAGACAAAACGACAGCCTACAGAATGGGAAAAGATCTTCACTAACCCCACCTCAGACAGAGGTCTGATCTCCAAAATATACAAAGAACTCAAGAAACTGGTCAAGAGAATAATCCAATAAAAAAAATGGGGTACAGACCTAAACAGAGAACTCTCAACAGAGGAATTTCAAATGGCTGAAAGATACTTAAGGAAATGCTCAACAACCTTAGCCTTCAGAGAAGTGCAAATCAAAACAACTCTGACACCTGTAAGAATGGCCAAGATCAAAAACAGTGATGACAACTTATGCTGGAGAGGATGTGGGGTAAAGGGAAACTCCTCCATTGCTGGTAGAAACACAAACTGGTACAGTCTCTTTGGAAATTAGTATGGCGATTTCTCACAAAATAAGTAAACCACCTACCTCAAGACCCAGCAATACCACTTTTGGGTATACATCCAAAGGATGCTCAATCGTACCACAAGGATATGTGCTCAACTATGTTCATAGCACCAGTATTTGTCACAGCCAGAGCCTGGAAACAACCTAAATGCCCTTCAGCCAAAGAATGAATAAAGGAGATGTGGTACATTTACACAATGGAGGACTACACAGTGGAAAAAACTAATGGCATCTTGAAACTTGTGGGCAAATGGATGGATCTAGAAAACATCATACTGAGTGAGGCAACCCAGACCCAGAAAGACAAGTGTCATACGTACTCACTCAAAAGTGACTTTTAGACATAAAGCAAAGAAAAAATAGCCTAAAGTCACAATCCCAGAGAACAAAGACAACAAAGAATACCCTAAAAGAGACATATATGGATCTAATTTACAAGGGAAATAGAAAAAGACAAGATCTCCTGAGTAAATGGAGCGTGGGGATCATGGGAAAGTGCAGAAGGGGATGGGGGAGAAAGGAAAGGGAGTGGAGAAAAACATATAGCTCAATAAAAACAATAAAAAAAAGACCAAAGGGTCAAGACCATTAATCAGCTGACCCAAGCTAGTGGGAGATCACAGACTCCAGACTAACAACTGGGAACCTGCAGAGAACTGAACTTGGCCCCCTGAATACAGGTGACAAAGGTGTGGCTTGGGTAGTGGGACCAGGATCATAAAATTAATGCATGAACTGACTTTGTGGAGCCCATTCTCTATGGAGAGATAACTTGCTCAGCCTAGATGAGTTGGGGAGATTCCCTCCCTCAATGAGGTGATGGGACACTCAGTTGACTTCCCAGGGAAGGCCTTACCTTGAGAAGCAGATGGGAGTGGGGTGGGGTAAGGAGGGGGGAGAAGAAGGAGAAGAGGGAGAGGAAACTGAGATTGGTATGTAAAAAATAAATTAATTAATTAAAAAAGAAACAATTGCTCTAATCTAGCAAAGGGTCACTACATCACAAATAATCAATGCAGTAACAGGTAGTTTTAAACAACACTAGCAAGAATTTTGATTGGACACCACTTCTAAATGTTATCTGGCCCCATCTCTTAAAAGATTTATTTCTTGAGAAATAACTACATATGTGATTAGTAATTTATGTAAAAAAAAATTGGTAAATTACTCAAACTCAGAAAACTTTTCTAGTCCATCACCTTCACCACTCAGTCACAACTACATAAGAAAACTTTTTTAATAAAATCCAAACATTAACTATTTGCTTAAATATGATAAAAAAACAAATAAAAGGGTTCTATGAAACAATTTTAAGGACACACAAAATCTCTATCAGTATCATGTTTATGTAAAAAGCATCATTAAAAGTGTCTATAACAGCTATTCTCAGAAATGGGGGACAATTGCTTGCTCCTTCCTCCATTTTCCAAATCCTCCTCAGTGAGAAAATATACTTTCATAATGAAGAGGAAAAAGGGTTTCTGTTTTTTTGGGTTTTTTCCTAATGGAATTACTAGCATGAGGCCAAAACACATAGGTAAGTACATCTGAGTTTTGGGGGCAAAGGCTAAGTATATTCTGTAGTGACTGCTTCACAGTCCCAAGCATGGCTGTCTGGAGAGTGGTCTCCAAAGGAATGACCACACCCACACTGAAGGCACTCTGCTGGTGATTCTGTCATCACCTATGAAGGTCCTGCAGAAAAATGACTCAGAGGCCTGAGAGGCACACAGCTTTACATTGCTAACAGTGCTCTCAGACTAAAGAACTTTAAATGAGCAAAGCACAAGTCTATGAGGTCTCTGATTCACCATCTACAAAACCACGAGTGCTATCTGTAGTCATTTTACAAAGATGAACTGAGAAACAGTTCAAACTCAGGCATTAGTAACACATAACTGCAATCCCAGCATTTGGGAGGCAAAGTCAGGAATATGGTGAATTAAAGCCCAGTCTGGGCTACATATACAGTAAGACCTTAATTTAAAAATAGAAAAGAAAGTAAAATGTGCTTTAACACATTATAAAGACTCAAAACATATTGAGTATATGAATTATGATCTATAAATACAATATGCCACAGTACTATTCCAGCATCATAAATACAACATACCTGCTACTGTGTGTGTCAGTCTCGTGTTACGTAGTCACGCAAGCACTACATTTACAAAGGACAAATGAAGAGAGCAACTGGATTTACTTACACTTCGGGTCCATGCTAAGCGATCTGTGTTATAACCCATCATGTTCAAGAGACAGATCACAAATAAACTCCATTCTGAGTGGTAACTGGGTCCTCCCGGAGCACTGTGGACATTGTACCACTTGACGAGCATCTGAACTGCTATTTCTTTTGGCAGGATGAACTTAATTGCTTGCAGACACGTTTGTACTATTAAAAGCAAACACTGATTTCAGTATGTTTCCTATGCACATACTTCTTTCCTCCTTTAAAATGGAAAGGTTTAAATGGCTACTATGTCAAGGCCAGCCACTAAGAAAAGACTGTCATTAAGGAGCCAATCGAGCACAAACATTACCTCATCAATGTCAATCACTTTAAACCAACTCTACAGCTGTCAGATCCCTAATTCTGGATTAGAAATAGGTGTGCACATAGCCCAGTTCACCCAAGATAATCTTGATTTACAACCACTGCTCCAATAACTATTCATTTTTCATTCTCAAAATTGTCCTAGCTTAAATAATAAAGTTTACTATGTGAAAAATATCTAACTTCTCCATCAATAAATTTACAAAAGCCACTGATTAAAGCCTTCAGATACAACATCCACACAGGTACCTACCAATAGGAATGTTTAGGGGGTACTGAAAGATAAGATGCTCTAAATGAGTGAACATTCCTGTCAACCAAACCTGCAACTTTTAATTTCTAAAGAGGCTTCCCTCACCATGCCATCAATGAGTTATGGAAATGCTATATTATATATACTATTCTTAGTGATGCAAAGTCACTGGTGGGAACACCAATTACAATTGAGAGAGCCAAGGGTACTGCCTGCTGTAAACGGCAAGGATCTGCTATTGGAAATAAATGGTTCCAGATAGTAGCAGTTTTCATTCTCATTCCCTCCCCTCCATCACTGTCACTGACTCCATCTTTTGCAACACAACCTTTTCCTCATCAATCTGCTTTATGATCACAAACACTGCAAAGACTAGAAGCAAATGACAACGAATCTTAGAAAAACCAAAGAGGCAAGTATATCATAGCTGAAAATAAAATGAGAATTCTTAACAAATTAAGAGAAAGAAGAAACACTACAAGCAGAAACTGGGCTGGAGAGACAGGTTAGCAGTGAAGAACACCAGCTTCTCTTGTAGAGAACCTGGGTTCAATTTCTAGCACTCATATAGCAACTCGCAACCATCTACCACTCTAGTTAAAGGCAATCCAATGCCCTCTGCTGGCCTCCATGGGCACTGCACTCATGTGCTGTACAGACATACATGTACAGACATACATGTACAGACATACACATACACACATAAATAACTCCTTTAAAAAAAACTAAAAAAAAAAAAAAACCAAAACCAAAACCCAAAAAACAGAGAACTGTCTCCACCAACTGTGTGATACATCTAACTGGGAACGTAGAGTATAGTCTGACTCACTCATACCTAATTCCGAGGTAGCCACTTCAGGGATAGTGATCCTAACCATGGAGCCATTACTCAGTTCCTAGTGAAAGAATGGAAACAAGGGGAAAAAAAACGGTTTTTATATATATACACTTACACACACACACACACACATATAGTAATTTATACCATCATCTGCCTGTTGAAGCAAAATCTAATAAAATAAAAGAACTACATTTTTCAATCATAAATGAATGTTCCTAAACAAATATGCATTTTTGCAAAACACTTTCAAAATCTTTGTTTTAATAGAGTGTCCACTTCCTCCCAAACGCTGGGACTAAAAGCATGTGCCACCATGCCTAGTCAAGTGCCCACTTTTTAAACAAACACTAAGAGATACCATTATCAAAAGGTGACTTTCACCAAAAAGATAAAAGCATGGCAATGTGCAATTAATGGATTAAACATGCTTGTTTTAAACAAAAGCATTAAATATTTTTATTAATTACTTGAGAATTTCATATGATGTGCTTTTAACACAGTCACTTCCCTACCCCCAAATCCCAGAAACTATTGACTCCCCACAGCAACTTAGCGAGGGGTGGGCTTCAGTAAATGTTTAGTAAAGAAATCTCAGAAAATAGAAGCAGAATTAAACAGTACAAAATGATAGTATATTTTAAAAATTATGAGATAAAAAAAGGCAAAGCAACTCAGCAGGTAAAAGCAATTATCCTGAAAGCCTGGTAACTTGCGCTCAATTCTTACAACCCACGTGAAGGTGAAAGGAGAGAACCAACTCCACAAAGTTGTCCTCTGAGTACAATATGTATGCGCACCCCACATACACACATCATATACACAATAATAAATGCTTTAAAATCACGAGAAGTGTTCATTTTCATACATAATTTTACATCCTGCCCAATGTGAAGTGTTCAGACAAACGGCCTTCGGCCAGCACGCCCACCTCTGCAGGACTTACTAGAGTGACTCTGTTATGAACAGGGTCTCGCACAGAATGAATGAAAGTTCCAAGTTGCTGGAAAGTGCAATCTTCATTGTAGAGAGAATCATTAAGTTTCGTTGAAGAATCCCTCAGTTCTGGAACTGGAGACAACAGAACCACCTACAAAAAGTCACAACACAGATTAAGGACTATTTGAGAATTAAAGATAAGGAACTATACTTTTGCATATGCTTTGACGATTTCAATCATTCTGCTCCACGAACAATGAGCCTGCAATAGGCCAAACTCTTCACAGAAAACTACAAAAGCAACTGACTGACAACATACATACATACATAGCTATATTATGAGATCCTCAAACGCAGACTACTTGTCTCCAGGCTTTCTTTCCAGCCTGGTAGGCACTAGTACCAGACAAGATGCTCACAGAACTGTCTCATTTCCCAGTGGTACCGAACAGCCTACAAGAGCACACACTGCTGGCCAACACACTGTCATTGACACCTCTTGAGGACTGGTACATTACCCTCTTCCTTTGCAGCATACACCACACTCAGACCCTCTTTTTCTCTCCTATATTGAGACAGGTTGTACTTGGCCTTCCTATCTTGAACCTGAAGAAAAACATACTTGGAACAAACCCTGATATGAGAAACTTCTCACAAACTTACAAAGCCAGGAGAACTGCACTCAGAACACTGTCATGTCACCCATCTTCCTTCAAGAACATACTGATAGGACTGGCAATTCTAGTGTTATCACTTACTAGCTTCTAACTTTGGACAACTAAGCTCCATGTACCGCTGTACATCCAACTATAAAGTGAGGACCAAGTATCTTCCAATCAGTAAAGTTGTTATAAAGCCTTAAATAGGGAAATACTGATAAAACAGACAGTGCCTAGCACGTAGATATGTTAGCATAAGAATAATTATTGTTGTTGTTGTTGTTGTTATTCTATTATCCCACTCTCTGCTATGCCTCACCCAACACCCTTCTTACTCATTGTACAAATTGGTTAAGACTTTAGTTCGTGTTAGGAGACAGACATGGACTAAAAAGATCTTCTAGCTGGCTGGACGATGGTAAACACCTTTATCCCAGCACTTTGGAGGCAGACGCTGGCAGATCTCCACAAGTTCAAAGTTAGCCTGGTCTACACATAGTGAGTTCCCAGCCAGCCAGAGCTGTTACACAGAGAAACCGGGGGCAGGCTGTCTTCTAGTTATATATGGTAGTGCATATCTATATAAGTTCCAACACTGAGAAGGAGAAGCAGGAGCTCAAGGTTATCTGACTTTCACAGCAAGACTGAGGTCGCCTCAGGAAGTCTTTTGCACTCTCTTCTCCTGTGTTCATGCCCTTACCCTAAATACCCCCTTCTATTTACCCTTCTTACCCTCAAAGTTCAGGTCAGGAATGACATGCTTCCCAGCAATGTGTAACCCTTTTCAGTGGATGAAATATTAGCACTTTCTGTTCCTCACTTACAACTCTTGACAGACTACCTTAAATTATGATTTCTTATGCAGACCACACATCTACTACATCCTGGTAAATTGTGAGATCTCTAGATAGAAAAAAAAAAAAGAACCATTTTCACCTCTCCAAATCTTCAAAGAGCACTTCTCACAGCACAAAGAATGTGGTAAGCATCACTTGTGCTTGGAAACTCCTATCTGTGAATAGTAAAACTTGACCAAACTTCTTTAAAACATGATTAACAGTTGACAAGATCTAATCTACTTCTTACCTCATCCATTGATCCAAGTAGTTTACCAAGAGGCTTGGGAGTAGATACACTATCTAGAGGTGTACTAGGCCGAGGCATCATGTTGGACATTGTCAGGGAAGGAGCCGGAAGACCAGGAATAAAAACTTTCCCCACCTTTGAGCAATATAAAGGAGGGGAGAGTAGTGAATAGATCATATCCTTAAGTTAAATGCTTAGTCACAGGAACAAAGTAGTCTTTATATATAGTGAAGTTCATGACCACTAAACACAACACATATTTAACAACTTCTCAAATTAGACCAGTCAACTGTGAATACCTCAGTATAAATTCTTTTGTTTGATTCAGGAAACTTTTTTACAGAAAAGCTGGAAAGAGATGTTAATACAGTCAAGATAGTATATAATATTCCATAAAGTACATCTCAAGAGTCATATTTATATAAAATACAACTTTTTAATAAAAACTCCAAAACAAGGAAAAATAAACAAACTGCTCTTTAGTGACACATAGATAAGTGCAAAGCTAACAAAATCAAGAGGCAGTTTACAGGAAAGCCAGGGTAGTTTACAGGCAGGCCAGGTATAAAGGGATTAAGGCAGGAGGTTCCCAAGACCTGTGCTATTTATTAAGACTCTGCCTCAAAAATAATAATTTAATAAAAAAAAGTTACTGGCAATACATTTTCTTCATTATTCCTCAAACTAAGTATATAATACTTATAAACATATACTTATAATACTTATATTGTAGGGTTTTTTGGGTTTTTTTTTTTTTTTTTTTTTTTGGAGACAGGGTCTCACTATGTAGCCCTGGCTGTCCTGGAATTCACTATGTAGACCAGTCTGGCCTCGAATCTAGAAATCCACTTGCCTCTGCCTTCCAAGTGCTGGGATTACAGGGGTATACCACCACGTCCAGCTTAAGTATATATTTTTAAATTTGACAAAAGTTACAAAAGGAAGCTACAACCAGCATATACAACATTTAATATAATAAAATGTTGCAATGTTGGTGCTTCCCAAAGTTGCTCATCTTCCAATCCAAAGCTGGTTTTTAAGACTCTACCTACTCTCAATAAAAGTTTCCATTTGGTGGAGAAAGGTGCATAGTATCAATGCATTTAACAGGGAGCCCTCGTCCAAATTGGGACTGGCCTCCACAATTGGCTTCATTTCCCATTTAACAAGAATCTTCTGCCAAACTGCATAGAAGAATCAGAGCCAACTGTAAATGATGCAGGCAGTTCTACAAAAAGCACAAAGCACTGCTTTTGACGTACCCGAACCACTCCTGTGTACAGCACCAAGTTTCCATTGCCTTCTAGTACCAACATGGTGTCTATCTTCTGAAAAAAAAAATCTCTTGTAGTTTGAGTAAATTAATTAAATTTTCAGAAAAATCTAGTAAAGCATAATGATTTTCAATGTGCACTTACCTCCACTGGGGCTGCATCTTTTGCATGTATATTGGTGACAGAGCCAAAGATGAGCTGGGTCTTGTCATTACTCTCTTGAAACTTTACACAACTAAATATGAAAGTAAAAACAGAAAGAAACAAGTCTTAAGGGTGTCATTTGGGCCAGGCAGTGGTGACGCATGTCTTTATTTTCAGCAGAGACAGAGTCAGGTGGATTTCTGGGAGTTCAAGGCCAGACTGATCTACAGAGCAAGAACGAGGACAGCGAGGGCTACATAGAGACTCTGTCTCAAAAAATAAATGCAGAAACAAGTCTGTGTTCACTACAGGCAGGGAGCAAGAGGACAGAGAGCATGGGATGGATACAAAAGAACAGAAAATGGAAAATCTTCAAGAACGCAAAAGTTGTTTTCTATCTTTAACTGTTACAACAATTACACCAATCTGCAGATAGAAGACGCATGAATTCATATAAATATACACACATGAATGAATACATGTAAAACCAAAGAAAGATGTGTGGGTCATACTGATACCAGTTTCCTGACTTTAAAAACACGCTGCAGTTACATAAGATGTTACCACTGAGAGAAAAAAACCACACGAGGCCAGAGAGCTAGAAGGCTCAGCAGGTAAAGCCCAACAGCCTGGGTATAATCCCTAGGACCATACAGTGAAGGAGAGAACAGATACCTCCAACGTGCCCTTAGACCTTTACTTGAATGTCATAGGATAAACAGACACACACACACACACACACACACACACACACACACACACTACACACAATGCAATGATAAAAAAAGGCTTAAATTAAAAAAGACTTTATGATATAGAAGGACCTCACTACAATTTTGCAACTAGCTGTAAGCTATAGTTGTTTTCAAATGAAAAGGTAAATGAGTAGACAAAACATGTGAACAGGCAATTCTCCCATGAAGTAAGTGTTTGGCTACTAGCCACATGAGAAAATGATCACTATCAAAAGCATCAGGAAGGGGTTGAAGAGATGGCTAGAGGTTAAGAGCACTGACTGTTCTTCCAGACAACGACGCTTGATTCCCAATACCAACACACCAGCTTACAACAATTGCTAACTCCAGTTTCAGGGGATTCGATGTGCTCTTCTGCCAAGAACCTTTGTGGGCACCAGGCATGCACACACACAGTACACAGACATACATGCAGACAAAACATACATACACAGAAAATAATTCTTCTTTTAAAAAAAATCATCAGGAAAATATAAATAGAAACTACTTGACACTCCATTAGGGTGGCTATAATCAAAGATGCTGACAGCCAAAACTATTAAGGATAAAGAGACACGAACCTTCACATGTTGAAGGAAGAAATGCAAAACTGCACAGCCTATATGGAAATCAACTCGCCAATTTCTTGAAATAATATCAACATGATTTATCAGTCAATCCAACAATTCCACTGCTGGGTATGTACCCAGAAAAAGCAAAATTATATATACCCATACAAAGATATTTGCCCACAGGTTCCTAATTCAGTGGTCAAAAGTGAACAGTAGGCATTGGTACCGCATGCCCTTTAATCCCAGAGGGAGGCAGAGGCAGGTGGATCTCTATGTGTTCAAAGTCAGCTTGGTCTACATAAAAGGTTCAGGACATCCAGGGCTACATGAGATAAACTATTCATCAACTGGTAAGCAGGCAAATGTGACTTATCTATAAAATGAGTACTGTACAATAATACTAAGGAAATTCTCATACATGTCCCAACAGGGTGGATCCTAAAAATCACTATGAAAAGGGACAAAGTAGATCACCAGAAGAAAAGAAAAAAGAAAAATGAAACTGAAATCACCACCAAAACCACTGTTATAGTACAGGTTGTAGACAAATGCCTTTAATTCCAGAAATTGGGAGGCAGAGGCAAGCAGATCTCTTAAGTTCCAAGCTAGCCAGGGCTACAAAATAATAACATTTCTTTTAAACATGACTAATATACAAGGCAGAAAGCCCTCTAGAATGACTGCCTGAGGCTGGGAGCAGAGAAAGACCTGCAAATGGCAGAGGGTCCCTCCTTAGTGATGGAACACACCTCTACAAATTTACTAAAAATCATTTAATTGTACACTTACTACAAGAAAAATAGAAAGGGAGAGTAGGAATCAGTGCTGATCTTCAGAGAGAATGGGAAATAGAAATACTTACCGTAACTGAAGCTGAGCCTCCACTAAAAAGCACAAGAACTTCTGTCCACACAGGTCAGTTGTTATAAATACCTTGGAGGCATGAGAGTTCTTCTCTCTAAAGTAAACGCATTAGTAAACTGTCAGTATTAGTTCAAAGAGCTGCTTCAGTAAATTAATGTTTGGAAACATTTTACAAAAAAGTAGACTACTTCCTGGATCAAGCAATAACCATCACATAAAAACTCCATGTGGATGTGTTCAACCATCACTTCTAAAACTTCTCTACTTTCAGACTCCCTTTTTATTCACCATTTCCTTTCTCTATATGTGCAAAGCTCTCTTTCCTTGAGGACAGCCGTACTCAAGTACCCTCATGTTAGAATGCAAACTGTGACCTAAAAGGGATGATCTACAGGGTTAAGTAGAGGCCTAGGAAGGTGGTAGAACTCGAAGGCACTTACCACAAAATATGAGGACTGTGGTGTGAATTTCCAGAACCCAACTAAATGGCAGTCCAAGTATAAACCCAGCACTCAGAAAGCAGAAACAAGGGGTCCCAGAACAGGATAGCAAGACGGATTAGTCACCAGTGAACTCTGGACTCAACTGAGAGACCTTGCCTCAGTGAATAAGGTATGGAAGATAGAAGAACCAAGGAAGACTCCTAATGTCAAGTCCAGACCTTCACATGTATATATTAGGTAACTGTACACACACACACACACACACACACACACACACACCATGAGGGGGAGGAACAAAGGGGAGCTCCTTGGTCAGAAGTAAAAATGTTGTGTGGCTAGGTAAAAAACCCACTCTTATCTTTTAGTTAAAGCAACAAACTTGGATGAAATTCACAAGACTACTTCTCATTACGTAGTTCAGCGAAGGCAAACATGCCTAGGCAGCTAGCTACTGAAAACTTTCAATAAACCTATTCTCGCTTCCTCACCTCCTATTTACCTTTTGTTCCACGCTCCCCTACCATCCCTCAAGCCTAAGGTGAGTGACCTTCCTCTGAGGTAACAGTCAGGGCCAAACAGCACCAGTGCCTGGAAATACTAACACTATTCTCTTCTCGAAATGTCTGCTACTCCCACCTGACTTCACTTCCTCTCTCTGAAGCAGCTCTCGTCACCCACCTCCCATACCCTGAGTCCCTAGCCTTCTACACCACTCAGTTTTAACTTGTTAGGAGGTGACAGACTAATGTGAACATTGAATGAATGTTCAAAACACCTGCCCAGGAAAAGGCCTACACACTACACATACCCACCACCACCTAACAATTTCAGAATTAACAGAATCCCTGTGAATTTATCCACAGGCCTGCCAGGGACCCCAGGAGCCTGATACTCACACTCTTTAAATCCTAGTCCACCCCTCTTGCCTCAGTCACACCTGCAACTTGTTCTGTTGTTTCTGTTTCCTGTGCACACATAAGCAGGCCTAAAAAGCAGTCACTCAAGCCTCTTCATTCTCAGCCTGTCAAAGCAAAGTAGGAGTATTTGTGATCCACTCACACACCAAACTGCTCTTTGGATCACAGCCTCCTACAGTGCCCATCTTCCCCAAGGCCTACCGCAGAACGGAGAGCACTCCAATGTCACTATCTTTAGCTCTATGTGGGACAATCACTAAACTGCCATGTTAATTAGCACACACACTGGCATGTGGCTGAATAACAAATTATCAATGAGATTATAAAAAGATTAGGGTCATTTATTTCTCAAAAAGTAGAGCTAACACCTAACACAAAGATAACATTCCCTCAAAACCGCAGCTACATTTGGTGTTTAAATGAGATTGGCCCCCACAGGTTCAAACTTATATGCTTAACCCCAAGCTGATGAGCTATCAAGGGAGAATTAGGTGTGGCCTTGTGGAAGGAGGTGTGTCACTGGGGTGTCACTGGGGTGAGCTTTAAGGTTTCAAAAGCCCACTCCAGACCCAGTGTCTCGCTCTTGCTCTGCCTAATACCTATGGATCAAGATGTACAGCTCTCAGCTACTGTTCCAATGACATCCCTGTCTGCTTCCAATCAACATGATGATGGACTACCATCTGAAACCATGAGCAAGGCCCCCAGGTAAATGCTTTCCTTTATCAGTGCTGCCTTAGTCTTGGTGTCTTTTCACAGCAATAGAACCCTGATTACAACATTACAGAATTAGGGATTTTGTCCTAAAACTTCAAACACCTCAAATCTCAAAGATTACTATATTAAAGAAAAATTCAATGAAAAAGCATTTTTATGATCACCTTAGTATCAATAATTTCTTCTAAAATTAAGGTAGTATAAATATGTATCTCTATATAGTTTATGTGTTGATGCCATAACTAATGTCAAAGGACATTTTAAAACATTTCACACATATTTGGCAAACACTCTACCACTTAGTTATACCATCAGGCAAAACATCAAACATTTTCCAAAATGTTAGCAATATTTTTCTTTGAATATAAAATTATATCCACCAAACCTTGTATTAGGAAGTGTTTCAGTCCACAAGTGGTCAATGCACAGCTCAGGAATAATAGGCTCCGTTTCTGGTGCCAAAAATGAGTCATTAAAACTGCCACTTGGAGAATGAGAAACGCTGTGTCTCTTTGGCGACTGATTATGGCTTGAAAGGTTGAATCTTTGCACCCCTGAGAAAGAGTGCACCCCTAAGGCAGGAGAATGAGCACGGCTGCAAAATAACCAGAGAGAGGGCATCACCAGGAGCAACTTGGATTCCTAACACATGCCAATAATTCGTCTTAAATCCTACACATGAGAAACACTCATGGTACAATCCTAGTTACATAGACACTTTCAGAAATGAACAACTACTTAAAAGATTTGTCCTGATGTGATTTACGAGAGCCTAAATTTTTTTACAACTTTATTTACAACTCATGTTAAAATGTACTCATGACAGGCATAGAGGATCACGCCTTTAATTCCGGCACTTAGGGGGCAGACAGGCAGATCTCTGTGAGTTTGAGGCCAGCCTGATCTACACACTGAGTTCAAGGACAGCCAAGGCTACACAGAGAGACTCTGTGTTAAAAAAAAAAAAAAGAAAAAAGAAAAAGAAATTCATGGCGCTGGAGAGATGGCTCAGAGGATAAGAACACTGACTGTTCTTCCGGAGGTCCTGAGTTCAATTCCCAGCAAACACATGGTGGCTCACAACCATCTATAATGCGATCTGGTACCCTCTTCGGGTCTGCAAACATACATACAGACAGAACACTGTATACATAATAAATAAATAAATCTTTAAAAAAAAATGCACTTAGAACCGAAAACGAATCTATTTTCTTATTCAAAAAATAAATAGCATACACTATTCAAAGTATGCTGCTGTACTTTCAGACATACAAACTAGTCAGGCAGTGGTGGCACAGGCCTTTGTTCCCAGCATTTGGGAGGCAGAGTTCAAGGCTGATCTCTTAAGAGTTCAAGGCCAGCCTGGTCTACAGAGTAAGTTTCAGGCACAAAGAAACCCTGTCCCGAAAACCAAAATAAGTAAGGTTTAAAAACACTAGCAAAGTATTTGTAGAATTAAATGTCATCTAAGTGCTGCCCCATCGTGGGAGAAACAATGCAATTTTATAGCGTTCCATCCTAAGCAGCTTCTAAACACAGCTCAAACACAAACTACTGGGGCATCATAGATTCAGAAGTTGTAAAAAGACCATAATTAGGTTTATGCCTAGTCCCCCTAAAAACTACCCAAAAGTCATCAACAGAAGCCATAAATTTTTCAAAACATAAGAGAACTAAAACACCAGGTATCCAGTGCTTGGAATATTTGTTTAGAGCAAGGAAAAGGCCCCACCTGAGAGCCGCCATGTTGGAGATGGAAGGCGAGCGGGAGTGCAGGCTCGGAGATGAGGCAGAGCGACTCTGGCTGTGAATGGAGGAGTAATTCTGGAAAGGGGAAGCCACGGGGGATTCGCCTTTGGAGAGGCTTCGGAGATGTGCTGTGAGGGAGCTGCTAGTTGCTACATTCTGAAGGGTTCCTGCCTGCTCAGGGAACTTTAAAACAGCATTCTCCTCCTTAAGTCAAAGTGAATGGGAAAAAACAAACAATTAGAATACAGAGTGAATGGAAACTCAATTGACCTCAAAAGTGTACACATGTTCAGGATTCACTCTCTCTCACAGAGGAAGCAGCCTCAGTCACCCTCACCTCTGGCTTTACTCTCCGCAGAGTCCAGACGGAATGCACATTCTGAACAGCATCATAGGTCATTACAATGGAGGGGTCGATGTTGAGGAACACAATCTTCACGGCAGGATCTACAACATACTGCACCCGTGATGAGCCAAAAAGACCTGAAAATCAAAATGGAAATGACCAGGTACAGAACAGTAGCTTTACCTTTTTAAAAGAACTCTCCATGAAGAAAGTTCTCATTGTTCCTAAAAGGAAAGGGAACCAAGCCAATTAAAGCACAAAACCCATTCACTGTTACATACTGACAACGGATTTTAAATTTCCTGAGTGTCAAAATGCACTGAACATGACACAATGACTAGTTGGTCTTGGACACACATATAACTCAAAAGTTCAAGATTCGTTCTGATTCATCATTAAACTCATCAGCCAGAGGCAAAGGGTTCAGGACTCCTTCAACAATCAACCTCTTCTTCATCTTTTATGGGGAGAGCAGGGAAGTTGTTTGTTTGTTTGAGACAGGGTTTCGTTATGAGACTCTGGCTGTCCTGCCTGGAACTTACTAGGTACACCAGGCTGGCCTCAAACTCAGAGATCCACCTGCCTCTGCTTCCCAAGTGCTGGGATTAAAGGCCCACACCACCACGTCCAACCAATCATCAATTTCTTTCAAGATTACAATCATTAGAAAAGTCTGATTGACTGGCTGGCTGACTGGTTCTATTCTGCCCTCCAATAACTAACCCAGGAGTGAATGATGTGTTTTACTTATTAAAAATGAAAAGTTTTTCCTGCTGAGTTCAGTTATTTTTCTATAACACTACAGACCACTTTCCATATCCTTAACAATTTCCTTCTCAGTTAAAATACTGGGAAATGGAAAAAAACATGATTACTCTCCAGAAATAGAAATTATTTTATAAAGAAATGATAAAACTAGCCAGGCATGGTGACATACACTTTTAATCCCAGCATTTAGGAGGCAGTGGCACACAGATCTCTGTAAATCTGAGGCAGCCGAATCTACACAGAGAGTTCCAGCACAGACAGGTCAACACAGTGGAATCCTGTCTCAAAAAAAAATGAAAAAAAAAACCAAAGAAATAATAAAACTATTTCAGACTGTCACCATTCCACTAAAATTAGAGGGCTTTTCTTTTTAGTAGAGGGAGGAATGGGGCTGGAGATGGCTCAGCCATTAAAAATGCTTACTGCTCTTGCAGAAGGCCCAAGCAGCTCACAATCACTTTTAACTCCAGTTCCAAGGATTCAATTCTATCCTCTGATCTCTGTGGGTATCTGGACACACGTGCACAAACCCACACATGGATATACACATAATTAAAATTAACAATAATAAAATCTTTTAAGAGAGAGAAATAGATGGTAGCTTCACTGTGTTGCCCATGCTGCCCACAAAGTGCTAGTCTCAAGCAATCTTCCCGCCTCAGCCTCAGAAGTTGCTGGGATTATAGGTACTTATCACCACCACCCATTTCTATCAAATCAGAATCTTGCTGTGTTTACAGTTTTACATATTATTCATAACATCCTACATGATCAACAATCTTTTTTGTCATTTGCTACAACCTTTAAAAAGACAGCTGGTATGTTTTAGAGAAACAGAACAGAGGTTCGATTTAGCCATGGCTATCCCACTCATGATGCAGGAGATAGAACCTCAGTGGCATTTGGAATGCACCAGTAAAATGACCAAAGACTACAAATGTCCTTCCAGTCTTCCACCTTTACTATCTGTAGGTGTTGATTCATGCTTGGTAAAGCCTAAATTTAAAGTCAAGCATACAGGAATACTTTAGATACATTCAAAGTGAGGATCGTCAGTAAACTTGAACAAAAAAAGTGGAACACTAAAATGTGCCCAGTAATCAGGACCTATGTTTCTATGTTTTTATTCTCAAAAAAAAAAAAAAAAAAGTTCATCCAAGTATCATTCAAAGGACAGTTACATAAGGCAAATTAACAAACATCAGTGTCCCTCACTGACTTATGTCTTTAGTTTTACTGAGACAACTGTTGTCCTCGCTTTCAATGAATTGTTTTCATAATAAAAGTCTCTTTAAATAAAATTTTTATTTTTCTCCCTCCCTTGATATTAAAACAGAGCTTATATAAAAGAGTACAAAAGTATACTTACTTCCAGATTTACAAACAAGTGGAGTTATTTCATCCAGTGGATGTAGCATGCTGAACATAGTAGGCAAAGGTTCTCTAACAATAAACAAAACGCAAACAGTCATCAACAAGATAACTATGTGCACTCTCGTGCTAAACAAGCAACTAGAAATCTACTGTTACCACTTGAACGTGAGATGCCCTCATAGGCTCATATTTGAACACGTGGTCCCCGACTTGCAGCACTGCTATGGGAGGCTACTGGAGCCTTTGGGAAAATAGGGTCTGAAAGTTAACGCCCAGCCCTGTTCCCAATCCCTCATTTCACTTCCTGATAGGCCAAGATCCACAGAGCTTCTGCTACATAGCCCTTCTACCATGAACTGTGCCCTGCCTTCCCCAAAGGAAGGGCTGGAACCCTTAGCAAAATCAATCCTTCCTCCCGCAAGGGCTTGTCAAGCATCCTGTTGCAGCTATCTCAAAAAGGAACCTTCTAAATTCTTCAAATACCATCTATCATAGCATTCTCTGTTTTAGATATATCTAAACATATCTTCTTTTAGTAACTCCATAAATTCACACATAGAAAGAAAATGACTGTTCGGGGGAAATCTGCAAATAGCAGCCATCACATGACAGAACCCAAAGAATAAAAACAGGCTTAAGACAGTCATTCACTTATCCCCCTTAGGGGTAGTGTGACTATAGTAGTTAAGAAATTTAATTTCCTACCTTGTTCATACAGGGGACATTTTTAAATAGAAGAAAAAAGTATGTCAAGTAATGGCATGCAATTTTCAGGAAGGTGGAGGGAAAGTGCTGGCTTTCTATCAAAGCAGAGATTCAAATCTGCAAACAGCTGACGCAGTGAGCACCTACTTTTGCACACCCTGTGTTTGTTTGTACGCTCCTCCTCTCAGTAAGTTCAGTTTACAGGGAGGCAAGGTAGGTGCCCATCAGCAGGTATCCACCATGACTGAGCACTTAACAGACACTGGGCTGTCTGTGAGAGTCTGCACAGATGGCAAAAGGTAAAAAGTACCACTTCTGGAACAAATAAGGAGAGTGGCAATATGTCCACAGTCGTACGTGAAGACATGGAAGAGCTAGTAACTGAACCGTCACTATACCACGGTTTAATGTTAGCACAAAGATCACAGGGCAATGAAGTGTTGGATGAGCAGTCACAGCTGAGCTCAAACTGGCATGAAAATGTTTTAATTCTTATGCTGTGAGTATGGACATCATCACCACCCCAAACATTTAGGTTAAGTTTACTTCAGAATCAACACTTAAAAGCCCAAGAAGTAACATTCTGAAGAGAATAAATTGAATACCTAGGTAGACTTGGAGGCACCTCATGTGAAGAACTGCTTCGTTCAAACAGCAAACCATATTTAGTGGCCCAAACATTTGCCACCTATCAATACAAGGGTGGGGGAACAGAAGTAAGAGAACAAGTTTAAGAAAATGTTTCTGTAAACATGACTGAATATTCAATTTTCATGGAATTTACTGAGAGCTTTCGAAGTAACATGATCACAAACTACAGTACTTCAAAGACAAAACCACAGAAGAGGTGCTCAGTGTGAAACTGCTGCCCGTGTAGGCACCAACATGAGAGCGAAAGAAAACCTCAATATCACTGGTATCATTATTGAATGATGATGTGCTGCAATAAAAAGGCCAATATTATTCATCTACCTACTATAATAAAGCCAAAATGGTTTCTTAAATATCACTAAACTGACGAACATCTCAAACTGTAATTTGCTTCACTAAAACACTATTTCTGTGAAAAGGACAGACACGGTGAACTGAAAATACTAAGTACAACTAACACCCTCGACACATAAAGATCTTTGTAAAACGCTGTTACACATGATCTCTGACAAAAACACACATAAAAGGTTTTGTTGTTGTTGTTGTTGTTTTGGTTTTTGGTTTTTCAAGACAGGGTTTCTCTGTGTAACAGTCCTGACTGTCCTGGAACTCACTCTGTAGCCCAGGCTGGCCTCGAACTCACAGAGATCCACCTGCTTCTGCCTCCCAAGTGTTGGGATTAAAGGCGTGCGCCACCACCGCCCAGCTTCTTTTTTTAAAAAAAGAGGTAGGGTTTTTTTTTTTTAATTTATTTTATATGCATTGGCGTTTTATCTGCATGTATTTGTGAGGGTTTCAGATTTTGGGGTTACAGACAGCTGTGAACTACTACATGGGTGCTAGGAACTGAACCCAGATCCTCCGAATGAGCAGCTGGTGCTCTTAACCCCTGAGCCATCTCTTCTCCACCCCCTTTTTTTGAATACACTGACAAACTTAAAACACTCAAGTTTACCTGAAATGGTAAGGAAGCTATATAATCCTTCCCGTCTACGCTGTGCATGTTCATACATGAGCTCTGTAATATACATATGCATTTCTCTACTTCATGGCTCTCTGAAAGCATACAAGATTTATGGGTTATTTTCCTGCTAAACAGTTCAATCCAAACAGCCAAAGTTCATTAATGCATAATGCAAAACTTTTAATTTAAATCACTATGACTAAGAATTACTTATAAACATATTACACAGTGAGTTAAATATTTGGAAATATGGAAAATAAGATTTCATAAAGAAACTTACTGTGGATCTTTTCAGATTTATCCTGTGATGTAATGAAGTCACACCACAATGCCTAAAACCAAAACAAAATGCTTGTCTAAGAAAATTACATCTAAATAATCTGCCAGCTAATGACATCAGTAACAATGATATTTACATAATACATTTCCTCAGTTCAATAAAGATATATTTTTATACATATATGCGCTCATACAGTCATACATACATATCATGGAAAGAAACAAGAGTAACAAAAAATAAGATTAGAATACTTAACATATCCTAAGATGACATATGATAATTAAATCTTAAGAGAAAGGAAAATAAAACAGTAAGACTCAGTTGACACAAGTCTTGCAATTAAAGCTCAAACATCAGCTCAGCCTATGTAAACCCTGCATCCTATAATAGCAAGAATTGAGTTTAAAAGTGACTCAGCAACTAATCCCACTCTCTATGCTCTTACTTTAAAAATGTTTAGAAAACATCTGTCTCTATTAATTCACTAAATTGAACACTTAAAAATGGTTTAAAACATAAATTAAGTTGTGCATATATAGTCCGCCACAATCCTAAAAAAATAATAAAATGCTACTAAGTAATTTTAATTTAAAAACTTTAATTTAATTTAAATGCTACGAAGTAAATCTAACTTAATAAAGATGTTCTCTTTTGTTTGTTTGCTTCTGAGACAGGGTCTCACTATGTAGCCCTGCTTAGCCTGGAACTCATTATGTAGACCAGGTTGGTCTACCTCCCAAATACTAAGATTGAAAATAATACTCTAATATCATCTAACAGTAAATCCTTCTTTTAACTTTTCCAACTCCCCAACCACCCAAAAAAAGAAAAAAAAATCTTTTACCTAGTTTCTAGAACCAGAATTCAAACAAAGTTCATTTAAAAAGTTTAAAAAATAGTGCATTTGGCCTACCACTGGCTGCCCTACCTATAAACACAGCACTAGAGAGGCGAGAGGAATGGGGTGCTCATCTGAGCACAGCCTGAGCCCTACACAGTAAAACGCTGCTCAAGAAAGAAAGGAGTCTGAGAATGTCACTTTAGTGCCCACCATTCAGTGCTTTTCCTCCCTGATTCACTTTTTTAAAGAGACCAGAATGTAAACATTTCCAAATTCTGGATTCATCTAGTTACTAATTTCCTACTTTATTCTTTTAAACTTTTAATTATGAAAAATTTCAAATATACACACAAAGTACACAAAATGTATCTCCATTCCCAACTTTCATAATTATCAGCCATCAGCCACTCCTTTTTATTTTTATTTTCTGAAACAAGGTTTCTCTACAGAGCCCCGGCTGTCCTGGAAATTACTATGTAGCCCAGGCTGGTCTCAAACTCACAGAGATCTGCCAGCCTCTTCCTCCTGAGTGCTGTGATTAGGAATGTACACCACCAGATCCAACTTTGTTCTTTTTCATTAGTAGTTCGTGCGGGAGAACTGTCTGTATTCTGTCAATCTGTTTATTTTGAATAAATGCTGATTGGCCAGGCAGGAAGTATAGGTGGGTCAACCCGACAGGAAGTAGAGGTGGGACTATGAGAACAGGAGAATGCTAGAAAGGAGGAAGTCCATTCCCCCCACTCGTGCCCAGACTCCAAAGAGGCAAGATGTGACCTGCCCTGCTGAGAAAGGTACCCAGCCATGTGGTAGCATAGATAAGAACAATGGGTTAACAAGTAGCACACTTATTATTTTGTGTGCACCACAGCACACCTGTAGCAGTCAGAGGACAATTTGCAGGAGTCACTGCTCTTTCCACCATGTGGGTCCTGTAGGTTCAACTCAGATTGTTGGACTTAGCAGAAAGTACCTTTATCAGCCTAGCAATCTTTCTGGCCACAGCTACGGACAAATAATCTTCAACCCATTCTTCATCTCATGCTATTAGTAACTCTGCATCTCATGTTACTTTGTAGTTTCATTCCCTTAGGCCTCAAGCTTATTACAAACTGGAAGCTAGTTCGAAATAGACACACATTAAATATTTCTCAAAAGAAAATATAGTAGACATATTTTTTTTCTATATTACAGCTAGCTGGAAGTACATATCCTTTACCCTACTGTAAGTTGCCCTGAACTCAATCACTTGGCTGAGCCAGACACCAAAAACAACCTCAAAGAAAAGTTGTATTTGCTTACTTACATTTACCAAGTAAAACCTTACTGACACAGTATTATCCTTTTCTGCAATGGTGTTAATAACCACTATAACCTTGCCTGAACTGATTAGCACACTAGAAGCTACAAATTAATTTCCACTTCTACCATTTATTTTACATTTATGGGTTGGTATTCTTCAAAAAGTTAAAAGATAAATTGCCTATCTTCCTGAAATAGTAAGTGCTTAATTTCTTCTACTAATTTTTAGAAACTGGTTCTAACAACCACTACAATAGCAACAAATTAGGCTGAATTTCCTTTCACTATAAATCCAGTAACTTTAATATACTCAACATCTGAAAATGAATTATAGTAATCATGAACTTTAAAGTATTTCCTGTGGGTTTTTTTTTTTTTTTTGGTTTTTCGAGACAGGGTTTCTGTGTAGTTTTGGTGTCCATCCTGGAACTAGCTCTTGTAGACCCAGGCTGGCCTCAAACTCACAGAGATCTGCCTGCCTCTGCCTCCCCTCTGCCTCCCAAGTGCTGGGATTAAAGGCGTGCTTCACCAGGTCACATAATTTTTGATGTGGGATGTCCTTCTGTATATGTGTTACTTTTATTGGTTGATGAATAAAGCTGTTTGGGCCAATGGCTTAGCAGAACAAAGCCAGGTGGGAAATCAAAACAGAGACAGAGAGGACAGAGAGTAGGTAGAGACAAGAAGACTCCATGTAGCTGCCCAAGGAGAAGGACGCTAACTAGAACCCTGCACAGTAAGCCACAGTCTCGTGAGAATACATGGGTTAATTTAAGATGTAAGAGTTAATTAATACAAAGCCTGAGCTAAAGGTCAAACAGGGTTGTAATTAATATAGTTTCTGTGTGATGATTTGGGTCTGGGTGGCCAGGAAACAAGGGAGCAGCCTCAGTTTACAAAGTTTACAAACCTTTTTTTTTCTTTTTGGTTTTCCAAGACAGGATTTCTCTGTATAACAGTCCTGGCTGTCCTGGAACTAGCTCTTGAAGACCAGGCTGGCCTCGAACTCACAGAGATCTGTTTGCCTCTGCCTCCTGAGTGCTGGCGTTAAAGGCATGCACCACCACTGCCTGGCTTAAGGTCACATAACTTTTTGCTGACAATAACAGACCTCAAGGTCCACATCTACTGCTAATATACTTTATCTCAGTGCTGTGTGTGTGTGTGTGTGTGTGTGTGTGTGTGTGTGTAAAAGTGTTTGCCTAGCATATAGAAGGCCCTAAATTCAATCCTCAGTATTACAAAAACAATAGCAATATAAATAAAGACTGAGCCAGGTGTGGTGTGCACACCTGTCCCCCAGCACTCAGGAGGCTGGGCAAGAGGATCTCAAAAGTGCCAGGGCAGCCTGGGCTACAGAAACGCAGTCATGATGGATAAAGTGAGAATCTCACTTTCCTGCCAGTTTCTTCACTTCATGACATAATGGACACTGCTGTTGTCATTAGTTACACATTTAAAATGCAAGCTTTCTTATAAAACACTTATATTACAGTTAATCAACTGTACAAACTCAGTGAGCTCACCTGCTGGACAGTGCTGTCCACTGTGAAAGCTTTGTACACGGCCAGTGCCTGGCTTTTACTCCCTTTGCTCCAGATAACCATGTTCCCAGCCACATAGAGCTCTTCATCGTAGTCGGCTGCATCTCCAATCTCACTCACACCTTTTCTTAACTGCCAGCTTTCCTAAAAAATTAACACACGGGACATGCTCAAGCACTTCCTCCTTTGTTTTCAATAGACTGCAGTCTATTGCCTGTGGATTAAGACTCAACTCAACACTAAGTCCCAAAAACACTGTGGTACATGGATAAGCAAAATGGGTGAATTAGCAAAGTGGTACATTGTATCAGGAGATTCTTGAGATTACTTAGAGGTGGGAGAAATGGTTCAGTGGTTAAGAGCACTGACTGCTCTTCCAGAGAACCCAGGTTTGATTCCCAGCACCTAACAAGGTGTCTTATTACTGTCTCTAACTCCAGTTCCAAGAGCTCTGAGGCCCTCTTCTGGCCTCTGTGGGCACTGCACACATATGGTGCATAGACTCACAAGCAGGTAAAATACCCACAGACATAATTTTTAAAGTTGACTCAAAAATTCCGTGTTAGGTGTTTTATTTTATATTTCTATGTCCCCTGTATTATTATGCCAAAAACACAGGTAAGCAAAAAGTATATCTTACATACAGATCATAAAATAAAATTCATGCTTGAATGGAAACTGAAAGTATGTATTAAATATAATGTAGAGAATAGAAAAGAGACAGTGAGGTGCACATGTGGCTCGATGGAGGACTTGATGCAGTGTAGACGTCCTTGCTGCACAGCTTCTTCCCCTTGTCCCACCCACAAGATGAATGGAAGACAGAAAGTTTCTGATTTCGAACTATGTACATTCCAAGAGCTCTGATTTCGAAGGCATATGAAGATTAAGTAAGGCAGCAGAGGAGATGTATAGTTCAGTGACAGAGTGTTTGTCTACCAAGACCATGACCTTGGCTTGGCCCCAGAACTACCAAAAATAAAAAGCAGCAGCAGCTGAGGGATACACAGAAACTATTCTGTTCTGGTGTTTTGGGGCTGCTGTTTTCTGACATACTTTTACATCTCATCTCCATAAGAACCACTACTTTGCCAACCACTGTGGCACATACCTCTAATGCCAGTACTCAGAAGACTAAGACAGAAGGAACAAAAGTTCAGGGTTAGACTTACGTAGTGAAGCCTAATTACAAAACAAACAAACAAAAAACAAAAACAAAAAACACTACTCTAATACTCTTATGTAACAACATAAAATGTGTTGCAGGTAGCATTTCTAATCTCTAACATTTAGTCATATGAAGTGAAAACAAACTTTAAAATGAGCCATGATAGCGGTACTCAACCCTCATTACAAGTTATGTAGTGCACCCACGTAAGCAGCACAGACTGAAATTACTGCATGTTAGCCTTTAAAGCCCAAGTGCCAACATACACTAATTTCGCATATTCATCTATGTAGCTTTAAATTACAAGTAGATTTATTCATGCTATGTTTCAAAAGTATGATGAGAATCGTTATAAAACCTTCTGTTTCTCATGGATTGTAACCTCCTGAAGAGATCCCACCAAGCCAGCTGCACCATCGGAAGACCACAATTCAGAGGCTGGCTGCAGCTGACGAAGTTGAAGGTTCAAAGCATTAGGGTGGTGCTTGCAGTGGTCGCGACCGAAAGGAACGAATTCCTGCAAATCCCCGGCTGCAATCATCGTTGCCCTTTCTTCAGAGAAGTTCGACATGGGTTCCAAATATCAACATTATTTCTGTGTGAATCCAAACACAAGCTCATCAGCCTTCTAGTCAAAACCAGTTTGTGACTACAAAGACCTGCATGGAGCTAAGGCGGAAACATGCCAGAGCACCGCACAAACATTTCTACGCATACTTAAGCAGGGCTGGTTAACCTCCTGACGGTCTGTGTGGCATTAGTATGTAAGGTGAGAGAGGGTATGGCATATCAGTTAAATTACAATCCCCAAACATGGCTCAAAGCAAGCATTTGATAGGAGTACTATAGCCAACTGTTAGTGTTTAAAATGACACTTAAGATTAGCAACATCTAACTAAATATGACTTGAAGTTCTTATCTGAAGTTTTACAGCATCGGTCTTTTGTTTTTTGTTTTGTTTTGTTTTTGGTTTTTTCCTTACAAACACCTCAAAGTTCAAGCACCTAAGTTTCTATGAGGCCCTCTACAGTCACAGTCTTTTGTGCTGTGAATTAAATGTCATCCCTGAGATGATTATGTCTTTTCCGCCTCCTAGAACTACATCAGTATTGAGAAGAGCTCAATTTGAAGAACTATAAATGCCTTATAAAACGTCTAAAAAATTCCAAAATGTAGCTGGCTTTTCCAAATTCTACTCCACAACAACATTAAAGAACTGGCAGGTTTATTCGACTTACTCTTGTGCAACTATATAATTTCACTCTCTTATACCTTAAAACAAACCTACAGGATTATTAATTACAGCATCATTTTCAGAGTTCGATGTCTTTTAGCCCAAAAGCATCATACTTAATGCTCTCACAGTTCTCCCAAACTTATTAACTGTGGTATTCATTACGGGCCACATAGCTGGCGTGCTATAAATAAAACTGTCATTACTGGTTACTAGAAACATATGCGAAGAGCGGAACCCAGAGTTGTGTCTCTACAAAAAGAGGCTTTTTGAGTAAGCCGCGCTGAGAGGTAGCGGCCCGAGAATCCCGCGCAGGGCGCGTCGGGCGCACCCCGAAAAGCCCATCTGAGACTATTGTCTCCCTCACCCCAGCACGCTCTCAGGGCCCGCCCCGGGCCACTCAGCCCTCCGGTCACCGGGTGCAGTGCAGCCCCGACATCAAGTCGCAGCGATGCGCAAGCCAGCCCGGCCCGCACCTGAGTGACTCGGGACGCGTCAGGCGCTTGCGAGCCCCGGCTGCTCCCCGGAGGCGCAGGGGCCGCGGAGGCCCGAGAGCAGGTCGGTCAGGATGGCTCCTCGGCCGCCACAGCTTCTCATCACTTGTCCCTCACTGACCCCGGAGGAAGAACGGGCCGCAGCGGGGAACCGAAGACGGATGGGCGGAACTCAAATGGAAGAGTCCATCTTGGATTTCCCGTCCTGCCTCGCGCCCGGGGCAGGGCGCCACGGGGACGCGCGGCAGTGGGGCGGGCCTAGCGCCTGCGCAGCTCACGAAGGCGCCTGAGCAAGCATCCACAGTCGCATGACGTCACCTCCTTGCTAGCTCCAGACCTTGTCTCTCAATTGTGTTATGTTGGGTAATTTTTCTAGCTGGTTGCGGTCCTCCTCATCTCAAGAAGAGATGTGTGCCTCCCGACTGAAGAACGGGAGCACAAGGGAGGCCGCTGATCTTCTCAGGAATGCTAGCAAAGTACAGAAATTCGCATACTCCCACCAAAAATGGGTTCTAATCCGGTAATTGCTTGATATCTCTGAGTTTAAAAAAAATAAAAATAAAGATGGCGGGTCCTCTCAGTGCCTAAGAATAAAGTTCCAGTTCCAGTCCTGTTCTTTTCCCGGAAATGCATTTATCTGGAATTTGATGCCTTTGCATATTTGTCTATTGTGACACACACCTTGATATTGTGGTTCATTCTCCTTTACTTGGAATGTCATCTTCAGAGCTTGAGGCTGCACTCCAACAGGAAGGAGTTTCTCTTAGAACTGGTGAGAGGAATGACTGTTTAGCTGAGTATTCGAAATAGGCTCTCCCAGCAACACAAGAATTCCTTCCTGGGGACCTGCTCCTCTCAGCACTACACACACACACACACACACACCAACACCATCACCCCCTATCCTAAGCCTCTTCAGCTCCTGAGCTTCACTTCGCTTCTCCTTGCCTGGGTATTCAAAACAGTCAAATTAGCAATTATATTCCGCATGCTCAACTCCAATCTTATATTCCTTCCCACAAACCCCATCATCCTACAAAGTTCTATCTCCAACAGGGCTTTCTGGAAGAACCAATATAAGAGCACACTTGAGTTGCCTCTCGGAATCTCATCGCTTCCGTTCTCCATCTCCTCTACCTCTTGCCCCACCCTCCTCAGTCTACCAGCCCTATCAACCCTAAAAGTGGTCACTTGGAGTAGAAGGGTACGCTGTTCTTCATGATTCTCTATGCCACCAGGCCATTGTCATACTCCTTGAGACTGTGGTGTCTCCACATTGCCAGACTTGGATGAAAAGTCCCCCTGAGGGATATGGGATTTGGCTTCTGAAGAACCCACACATGGAAACTCAAAATGGTAGGGAGCAAACTGATCAATGAGTAAAAATGAGGACATAACTGCTACTAGTTATGGTTGAGGAGAAGGTTTTTGTTGAAGAGACGAGGGAGAATACATCCAGGGACAATTGGAAGAGTCTAGACTGAACATGGCCAACAGAAGAGACCTGACCATGAGAGGAGGAGTCCTGGACAAGAGACAAAGAGAAGAGAGAGAGACAAGAAGACCAAGAGAGAACCAAGAGAATGAGGATCAATAGAGAAGCCAAGGACCAAAAGAGCTCATGACCAAAATATCTGGGTTATAAAGGAAAGAGGAAGAGCAGGAGGAAGAAGAAGAAGCAGAGGAGGAGGAGGAAGCAGCAGCAGTTGGGGGAAGGGAAGCCAAGCTCTGCAGGTGGAGAGGTTTAAGACAGAGTGGGGGAGAGGCGGCGCTAAGAGGAGCCAGGAACCCTGGAAGGAGTACTTGTGTGATGCTCAGAGAGCCTAGCAGACAGCATAGGCTTTAATATGTTAGAAGAAACCTCAGTTAGCCTTTTGTTGAGAGTTTCTTCGGGACCTAACAGTCAATAGGAACAAGGCAGGAAGGAGACAGGCTTCTAAATGACTGTTATTCTCCTTCCCGAGGAATGACCCAAGGACTTTTTTCTTTTTTCATTTTTTCTTTGCCTACGCATCCTTTGTGGCTGAGTGGACACAGCCATCAGTCTGCCGAATCCTTGGCAGCCAGTGTAATATTTGTTGTGCCACCCTTCCCTGCCCTTGTCCTCTTTCCTTCAGCCTCTCTCTAGGGCTAACCTCCAGTGCTCTTCATCCTTGGGTAGCCCAAGGAGCACAGAAGACACGACTGGCCGCCTAAGATGGTGTCTAGGGCGTCCCTAAAAAGGTTATCTCAAATGTCACTCCTGAACATTTGTTTCTCTGCTCAGATCTACCAGTGTGGTTCTTCATGGTTCCAGCCTATGTGACAACAAGGCCTGCCTAATATATCTTAGTCAGCTCTCTACATCATCCAAGAAGTTGGGGCAAGTGCCTGGAGGCAGGAACTGAAGCAGAGACCATGGAAGAGTGCTGATTAGTGGCTTTTTTTTTTCATGGCTTATTGAGCCTGCTTTCTTACCCCCAGGACTACCTGCCTGGGGTGGCACTACCCACAGTGGTCCCTCCCACATCAATCATCAATCAAGAAAATGCCCCCACAATCTTGTTCACAGGCCATTCTGATGGAGGTGTTTTCACAACTGAGGTTCCCTCTTCCCAAGTAACTCTAGCTTGTGTCAAGCTAACATAAACTTAGCCAACACTGTTCTCCATGCTCTAGGCACCAGAGCAACGCCACAGGTCCTACAGGACAGTCAGACACTCCAAGCCCTCGGTTACATTCCAGTGTCATTAAGAGCACTGCCGGGCCCCGTGCTTTGACAAAGTCCCTTGAAAATCATCCTTCTGCTTCTGTCACAATTCACTCTGTCCATGGGAGCTCAAACCACAAAGCCAGGAGTTTGAAAGGACAAGAAGCCCCTAGCGTACCATCACCCTCCCAACACAGCCTGCTGGTATTTTAGCAAATGCAGAACTTAGAGTACAAAATCCCTTGTGTAGACTCCTGTATATCACCCGTTCGCTGCATGTCCTATAAACAAACAGGAATTTCCTTAGGAACTCGTGAGATTGCATTTTGGACACAAACGTGCCCAATAATATTATTCATTCTATGCCCACACTAGTAAGATGCCCAGATTGCCTCTGTGAAATTTTTATGGATAGAATTGAATAAATAAAACTTGTTTTGCTAGCTCTTCTAATGACAAAATATATTTCTTTGTCGTTGGTGCTTAATAATATTACTGCAAATACTGGAACATAACGTAATAGACATCTATCATGTATTAATTTTCATAGACTAGAAGCCTAGACCAGGTCCTCTGGAAGAGCAGCCAATGCTCTTAACCACTGAATCTTCCCTCCAGCCCAAAACATATTTTTTTTGAAAAGAAAAGGTTAGTTAGTCTTATGTAATATAATCACAGAAGTGGCACTACTCTACCCACTTGGAGAATTAGAAGAAAGTCACATTCAAGGGAAGGAATTCCACAAGAAAGAAGGAATCATTGGGGGTCAGTATATAATCCTATTTTAAGGCTGGAAGCTACTCATTTTTAACCAAGAGAGTGACACACACACTACACTCTCACACATCCTTGGCAGCTGCCTCCCATTAATCCTTCTAGTCAGGTCTGCACAGGGAGCAGCCCTATCTCAAGTCCTAGTCTTAACAAGTTCACACTCTGAGAAGCTACCCCAAAGGCTTTTTTTTTTTTTGAAAAAAAAAATGACATGTAAAGGAGAGAAAGACAAAACAGGCTAGCTCCTTTCTATTGCTTTTATTGAGCTATACATTTTCCTCTGCTCCCCTCTCTTTCTCCTCTCCTACTCTCTCCCACGACACCCTCACTCCCAATTTACTCAGGAGATCTTGTCTTTTTCTCCTTCTTATGTAGATCCACGTATGTCTCTCTTAGGGTTCTCTTTATTGTCTAGGTTCTCTGGGATTGTGAACTGTAGGCTAGCTTTTCTTTGCTTTATGTCTATAAGCCACTTATGAGTGAGTGTATGTGATAATTGTCTTTCTGGGTCTGGGTTACCTCACTCAATATGATGTTTTCTAGATCCATCCATTTGCTTGCAAATTTCAAGATGTCACTAATTTTTTCTGCTGTGTAAATGTGCTGTGTCATTAATTCTTTCTCAGTTGTGTAAATGTTCCACATTTTCTTTATCCATTCTTCGGTTGAAGGGCATCTAGGTTGTTTCCATGTTCTGGCTATTACAAATAATGCTGCTATGAGCATAGTTGAGCACAAGTCCTTGTGGCATGATTGAACATCTTTTGGATATATACCCATAAGTGATATTGCTGGGTCTTGAGGTAGATTGTTTCCCAATTTTCTGAGAAATCGCCATGCTGATTTCCAAAGTGGTTGTACAAGTGTTCATTCCCATCATCAATGGAGGAGTGTTCCCCTTATTCCGCATCCTCTCCAGCATAAGCTATCATCAGTGTTTTTGATCTTGGCCATTCTGATAGGTGTAAGATGGAATCTCAAAGTTGTTATGATCTGCTTTTCTCAAAATAGGCTAGTTTTTAAATATTCATTCATTCTTGCTTTCTGTGTATTATGTACCTGTTTGACTGTATATGTATCAAATGCACACGGGGACCCGTGGAGGTGACTGTGAGGTGCTCAACATGGGTGCTGGGAACTGACCTCCCAGGCTAGTTTTTATATACCTGAAATTAGATTATACTTGTTTTTTTATATATAATTGAAGAAAAAGGACCAAGAGGTCAGAGGGTAGTGGAAGGAAAAGAATAAAATAAAGAATTTACCACACATTTATTTGCATGATAAGTTGCTAACAAAAGATACAATGAATGAACTGTAATTATTTTATAGGCTTAATGTTTCCCCGTGTATGTATTACAACTCATTTATAAGGGTTAAGATCTGTATTTGAACTAGAATGCCCAACTGTGCCAGTTTCCCCCAAGTGGAGTTTTGATGGATATGAGATGTTCAGCTTTAAGGTGAAATGGCCCAGACAAATTAGGCTAATTAGAATAGTGGCTCTAATTTAGACTAATAAGGCATATGTTTTCTACCCATGTAAACAAACTTGCCTTTATGTGCTGTGGGAGTTCCTTCAGCTCCTTCAGCCAATCGCCGCTGAGTTACCAGCCCATTGGGGCGTGGTCTCTCCCTTTAAAAAAAGCAGCGGCTGTCCTCCACTTTCTCTGTGTCTTCCGGCTCCGTTTCCGGCCCCTGGACTCCTTTCCTGTTCGCGCGGAGGGGCTGTTGTCTGGGACGGTAATCTGTA